GTTTAAATAATTCTTCAATCTGGTAACCATAATCTTGGATATGATTTTATAGAAGACATTACAGAGTGCAATTGGTCTGTAATCAGCAAGAGTTTGGGGCAAACTATTTTTTGGAATCATGCAGATGTTTGTGTGATTGTAATTACCGTTCATAGTTGCAGTAGTAACGAATAACAGTACCTCCTTAATGACATCAGAACCAACGATGTCCCAGCAATCCTGATAGAATCTTGCGGTTAAGCCATCAGGGCCCGAAGCTTTATCAGCACCAATGTCACATACAGCTTTGTATATTTTTGTCTCAGAAATGTTTAGTATAAGCGCTTGATTGATTGCAGGGGTAACTGAAGCTTTGAACCCATCAAAAATAGTAGTGGTGAATCTTGTGTTATCATTTGAATACATTTTTTAAAGTATCTTTCGGCATGATTACCAATCTCTCTATCACCTTGATAGGTTTTTCCATCACTATCATTGATTGTGTGTATTCTGTTTCGAGCATATCTCGTCTGAGTTATGGCATGATAAAAGTTTGTATTTAAATCGCCATTCCTGAGCCATTGATTTCGGCTTTTCTGTTGCCAATAGATTTCCTCATTACGATAAGCTTGAAAGAGTTCCTGTCTAATTTGAGGAATACAATATGGTGTTGGATCAATGGCGCTTAAGGTTAAATCTAATTCCATTAGTAAAGACTCAATTTGTTTCGCAGAGTTTGACTTGGAATTTCGACGGCATTGTATTATAGATTGGCAAGTATTCTGTATTCTGTCCGCGAAAGTGAAAGTCTGTTGATTGTGACCAGAATTCCAGCCACTTAAAACATATGATCGGAATTGGGGATGTTGAAGGAGGCGTTTATCAAAACGAAAAGGTTTTGTAATATATTCTTCTACGAACGCGATATTGAGGACAATCGGCCGGTGGTCCGAGGCGCAGAAATGTTCATATTTCACTTCTGATCCTGGAAAACGTGCTAACCATTCAGTATTTGCTATTGTTCTATCTAAACAGCACTTAATATTGTGATGACCTCTGTTCCCTCGCCATGATAAACGATTTCCTTTGTGCCGAATATCAGAGAAATTACATGAGGTAAACATATTACAGAAGTCTTGAAACGAGCGTTCGTCTCTAAAACGACCCTTCTATTTTTCCTTATTCTAATAAAATTTCGTTGAAATCCCCAATTAGTAGCCAGGGTTCTGGTTTAAGCGTTCAATTCTTTCCCAGAGTTCATGTCGTTGTGATGGATTCGGATTACCGTAAATGCAAGATAAGTAGAAATTCATTCCATTGTATTCAACATAAACATCAAGCATTCGGAGAGATTGATACAAGGAAGTGATACATAATTCTTTTTTCCAAAAGATAGCTAACCCCCCGCTATGGCCTTGTGGAGGTACTGTAGAAACATAATCAAAGCCTAATATAGAACTAACATCCCTAACGATGTTGCACTTATTCATTGTCTCAACCAGAAAGAGAATATCTGGTGAAACCTTACGACATAAATCCTTAAGCCTGTCTTTTGTCAGTGGCGGTTCTAGTCCCTGACAATTCCAGGATATGATCTTCATGTTCTTCAGAGGCATGAGGGGATAGAGATCCCCCCCCCCCCCCCCCCCCCCATAGTCTGGTGTTTGTTGATCAATGCAGAAAGATCCTTCCGAGTCATATTCAATTTCCATCTTAATTGGCATTGTCTCCTTCTCATTGTCTTCAATGGTAATATGCCCGATTTTACACTTGCGCTTGCAGTCATGGTCTCTGTCATAATCAGGAGCAGTGTCATCAGTTGAGATCATTAAGTTGGCTTTTTCCATCTTACGTTTGTAGCCGCGCAGATCGGTATTGTCTTCGGTCTTGTTGTGCGAAAGGCATCGAATTCTGGTGACATTTCAGAATATTGGTAGTCATGAGAGAAAACTTCTGTTGACTGAAAACTTCTTTTCATAACTATTTATATTGCTCAAAACCACTGAAAAGTTTATTTGGATCTAACTTTTACGTTTTTACTATAGTGAGTTTTTTTTGTCTTAAACTTATTTATTTATCATAATATATTATGAGGATACAAAGTGTTTAAAAGTCTTGCAAGTTCAGATATTGAATTGAGTAAAAGATTCTATTTGGGGGTCTAATTTTAGCTAAATATGAGCAGTTTCATTACAAGATTGTTTTACATGTATTACATCAAAAAAATAAAAATTTATTCAACCAAAATCTAATGATATTTTTATTATAAAGAAATTATATGTGTTTTGTTTACTAATATATATATTATGTTATTTAATTTTTTGGTTAACAATCCGAATAAATGTCATTTACACTTTAAAAAGTTATGTCGTTTCAAAATTTGTGGTTGCGTCTTTTCATTATAAATGGTTGCATCTTTTCATTATAAATGGTTGCGTTTTTTCATCACAACTATTATTTGTATCTTTTTAAAACTATTTATATTGTTCAAAACCACACAAAAAATCATTTGGTTCTAGCTTTTACTTTCTTACTATGGTGGGTTTTTTTGTAAAGATAATTATTTATCATAACATGTTATCATGATACAAAGTGTTTAAAAGATCAGAGTTTCAGATATTGAATCTGAGTAAAAGATTCTATTTGGGGGTTTAGTTTTGACTAAAATATGAGCAGTTTCATTACAAGATTGTTTTATATGCATTACATCAGAAAAATAAAATTTATTCAACCAGAATCTAATGATATTTTTATTATAAAGAAATTATATTTTTTTTTACTAATATATATTATGTTATTTTTTGTTTATGAAAAGCATCTATATATTTATAGTTAATTATGTTATTTTCAAATTCTAATATTATTTGTTAGTTGTTTATAAATTTAAAGTACCTAATATTTGGATTCTTTTTTCTAATTTCAGAAAAATATATTTATGGAATGTAACAAATTCACATATATTTTATATATGTATTTTTAGCTATCAAAGTTTTTTTATATATATTTTAACTATTATATTTGTAATATAATTTTTATTATTGCGAATCTTTTTTAGAAACTACAGTAGTCTTAGAAAATGTATTATAAAATCTCGTTACATTATTTATTATTATATATATTTCCTGTAGTATTTTCTAAAAATATCAAATTTTTATCATAATTCTTCGTTTCTAACTTTTCAATAATAAACGTATAGTTTTATAAACTTTTTTTTTGAAAGATTGACTCTATATTTATTTTTTACTTTACATTTTTGCGTGAATACAAATTTTTAATAATTATACAAATAGAAGATTACATATTTATATCATATATTTATGTTATATTTTTTCATATATAACTTTTTTATACTCTTAAAAAGTTGTGTATCTTATTAATTTTTAGCTTTTTCTATTGATAATTAGTAATAACTATCCTAGAAAATTTTGTAAAAATTTACATATTTTTTTATCATAATTAGTTTGTACATTTCCATTTAGAACTTATTGTTAATAATTAAAAAACATGAAAATATCTTTTTCTTTTAATAATTATAAGTTGTTTTGAATGTTTACATTTTTTATTAAAGATATTTTACATATAGTTATTTCAAATAAATTTATGTTTAATTTTTAATATACCGTAGATTAACCCCGCGAAGCAGGGTCTTATTCCTAGTAAGAATAATAAGATAATGCAAAATCCAAGTGATATGTGAGTATTGTATAGTCCATATGAGTATTGTAGGCATGTCACACTTGCACACACCAGTTTTTTGTTTATCAGCATTGCAAATGTAGTTTCAATGATTTTTTCCTATAGTATTGCTTCTCTATTGCATATATTCCTCCCTTTTTTCGATTTGTGTAGTGTTTTTTTAAAGATTCGTATACATCATCATCCAGTTTACATTTTCACTACACAATGGCGTGATTCAAGTTTTAAAAGGCAAAAAATCATTCAAAATAATGATGTTACAATAATAAAAATGGAAAATGGTATATAATATTATAATATTCGTTATGGTAAGTGGTACTGTGACATAGAAAACTATGATGAAAAAAAAGGCATTGGCAAGAGAAAGAGAGGGAAGAAAATATTTGCGTAGCGTTCATTTATATAACTAAATTAAGTACAATAAATTGGAATACTTCGAAAAGTCGAAAGAAAGAAAGTAAGTATATACTTATATTTAGATTGTTTTCAATTCGGGAACCGTAAAAACCACAAACCCCTTTCGAGGAAGCATCGAACTTTGGAGACCAATTATTACTCCACAAAGCCCTTACGAGGTACAGAATCTCTTTAATTGTGTTTTTGCTTACTAAATTACACTATCTATCATCGTTTCAATTGCGATATTGATGTGTCAGTATATTTGTTCTATTAAGAGATTCTCTTAGATTTCTAATATTTTGGTACTAAAAATATGTTTTTATGTACTCGAATATAAACGCTTGATTGGGCTGTTGTTTTGAATTTTTGTTTTGTTTTCTGAATTTTTTTCTAAATTGGGATACTGATTCGGACTGTTTAATTTTGTTGCGTATAAACACACTCTGTGAAACATGTGGGCTTAATTGTATTGTTTTACCAATGCGCATGCATGTACATGTACTATATAATTAAATCTACTTAATATTTTTCAATCATCAACATATCTTCTACATAGGAAAACAGTCAAATGTGCTAGATCTTGGCCCTCACTGGATTTAAGGGCTAATCATTTAGCTCCACCTCATTGGTTCGTATAAGGCAAAGTAGAAAAAACGAATCAGTAAGTAAAATCTTAAAGCACGTGAATGGTAACAAAATCAATCTTAATGCATGAATCATTGCAAAATCAATCTCAATCCATAGTCATTTATAAAAAATTAAAGCTTACAAATCTACCAGCATTGTACTCTCATTTGTACAATTACCCTTTTGTTTTGTTTTGTTCAGTTTATAAAAAGCCTGCCACTGACCCCACTATGATAAGGATCTAAAGAGAGATTAGAAAAGAAAAACAGAATCAGCATTTGTCTCCTTTTATGTTAAACATGCAAGAACTCACTTGTACATTCCTTTCACGTTCCATCGTCCCGACCACTTCTCCGCGACTTAGACTGCGACCACGGTCAGTAGTTCCGATGACCGTTTGCATGGACCAACCAAACAAGGAGAAAGTGGTTGTCATAATGGGAGCTACCGGAACAGGCAAGTCACGTCTCTCGGTCGATCTTGCAACCCGTTTCTCCGGGGAGATCATCAACTCTGACAAAATGCAAGTCTACAACGCATTGGAGATTGCTACGAATCAAATCACAATCCCTGAGCGATGCAAAGTCCCTCACCATCTACTCGGCGAGCTTCCTGCGGATGATCGCGACCTAACTGCATCAGAATTCCGCTCTTTGGCGTCACGGTTGATCTCTGAGATAGCCTCTCGTGGGAAGCTCCCGATAGTAGCCGGTGGATCAAACTCCTTCGTCCATGCTCTCCTTGTCGACAGCTACAACCCGCAAACCAATCCATTCGTTTCTGGATCGTTTCTTTCTTCCGATTTGAGGTATGATTTATAGAAATCTCTACTGTTTGTTGTATTTATTATATATGTTTACATTTAGGGTTTTTATCTTCTAAATATGTATTCAAAATCTCAGACCGCATATAGTGTATATATATTCACATTAATTACGTGAAATACAAATGGAAGGGGAATCTTCTGTTAGTAATTTACAAAAAACATTTTATAAAAACATGCAAAATGTATTTATCTAAAAGTCGTAACTTATTTTACATGTATTTCAACTTCATTATTCGTGCTATTACATAGACTACCAAATGATCAAAATCTTGATTTGATTAAATTAAAGGTACGATTGCTGCTTCCTGTGGGTGGATGTCTCGGTCTCGGTTCTGCACCACTACCTCTCAAAACGTGTAGACCAGATGATGGAGTCAGGGATGTTTGAGGAGCTCGCCGGTTTCTACAACCCTAGAGATTCCCGAGTTACCGGGATTTACAAGGCCATAGGAGTACCGGAGTTTGACCGGTACTTCGGAGTCTACCCGCCGGAGGATAACGACAACATGTGCGAGTGGGACCCAGCGAGAAAGGCGTCGTACGAGGAAGCAGTGCAGGAGATCAAAGAGAACACGTGGGTTCTTGCGAAGAAGCAGATAGAGAGGATCATGAGGCTGAGAAGCAGCGGTTGGGAGATTCATAGGTTGGACGCTACTTCGTCGATTAAGGCATCGTCGAGAGAGGTTTGGGAGAAGAGCGTTTTGGAGGAAAGTGTCAAGATTGTCAAACGCTTCTTGCTCGAACAATAAGTTTTCTCTTTTGTAGTTTTTCAGGCACTTTACATTTTGAAACACAAGAAGAGAGAAATTTGTTTTGTTTTTAAATCAATAAAACAATATGAATACTCCAACCAGCTACCTACATGCATGTTGAGTATCTTGATCACCAAGCTACATGTTCACTCATATTTTCGTTGATCTATTTATCATTGCAAACTTTTCATAGTACTAGAGTTTGGTATATGCTTAGGTATTGCAAAAAAAAGTCTTCACCAGGGTTGATAATAATGGGGTTAAACGGTCTGAGTAGTGTGGTTGAGAGTTTGTTCTCAACTTCCCACATCCTAATGTGTATTTTAAAAAAAATATATATCAACAATGAGTGGCCCAAATATTTTCATTCATTTGGAGATGAATACTCAAAACCGGCTCTGGTCACAAGTACATGAACTCCTGATCTTCTGATAAAGCAGGAAACACAATTATATCCTTCTTTTAATGTCCGTATAGATATATCATTTTGTGTAAATAAATTTACAGTATGTAATAAATTGGAATTTGTTTTATAAGAATAATATTATTTCTTGGTCTAACTCTTGTGTTTCTCTCAAAATACCCTTCACTAGAGCATCTGTTGAGTTATTAGAGGAGACCATTACTTTAAAAAAAATTGAGCTAAAAAGAAGAAAGTAAAACGTTGCTTTTCCATTTGCTCATACACAGATTTAACCAAATTTGTGAAAAGATTGACCTTGTTTTGAACTAGGTGATAACTTATATCATCATATGATACTGTAAGTGTGACAACAAACAATCAGGTTCATTAAATTATACATTAATATATTCAGATTGAGCCTGAATTGTGAATTTATGATGAGAACCAAAAGATGAGTTGCTGAGTATCTTCAGTGGTCCTTTGTCTAACTGTAACAAAAACAACACCAATATTTTTTTACAAAAACAGCAACAACAAAAAAAAACTAACAAATAATAAATAAATAAAATGTTTTAAAAGAAAGCCAAGAGCATAAGATGAATGTAAAATTTTGGGATTTGAGACAGTTACACAGATCCCGACCCCAACTGAAAAAAGGCTCACCAACTAACAGTCCACTGTCAAAAATTCCCTAAAAAAGTGTATTTTTTTACATCGTTTGACTTTTTCTTTTGATCCGTTAGAAAACTCCAACTCCTCGATTGACTTTTTTCTTTTATGGTAATCAATTATTCAGAACAAATTAAATTCTCAAGAAACAATATCCAAAGTAGCATGTAATTTTTCTTAAATAGTAGCAATGCGTTTTCGTTATGGTCTATTATAAGACAGTTCCAGTTTGTAATCGGATGTATCTGACTAATTCGAAATACATCAATGTATTTGACCCCCTGTTTTGTTTGCTATTGTCGAGTCAAAATCCAAAAATTAGTGCTATTGTCGAGTCCAAATCCAAAAATTAATTTAACAATGTGTGTGTCTAAGTTGTAAACAGTTTAATAATAAAATAAATATATAACATGACGTGAATTATAGTTGACTAGGCGTTGGAGTAGAATCCGATAGAATTACCTAGCAAAATATAGAGAGGAAGTTATGGAAAAAAATATAATTGAAATTAAAAAACTAATATTCTATAACTTAAAAGTTCTGTAAATTTGGGAAATGGTAATGCTGCATAATAGTGTGAGAACAAAATCTGTAATTTTTTTATCCATTTGTTAATTTTTAGGTCATCAATCAAAATACTAGTAAAATCCAGGATATATAGAATCATGGGACGTAATAGTTAATACTAAAACAGATGGAATCTGGAGTAATAAGTAATAACAAAAGCTACCAAGTTAAACTCACAATAGTTAACCAAAAGCATTGATTAATGTTTTCCCTAAATAAATGCCTTCGTCAGCGAATTCGTTGTTGCATCAGTCACTTCTTACTCGATGAGTCGTTTTACTAGTACAATTTATTCAAAATGGCCCAGTTCATTGGAAGAATAAAGAATTAGTATACACATATGTAACTAAATCTGTAAACTATTCTGACCATTTGTATCTTTGCTCTTTTAATACGAGTCTTGAGTTTAATCGTTTACAATTGGTTTTAATTGTTATCTTTCAAAAGAAAAAAAATAAAAATATGTTTTAATTGTACGGACTGTTTATAGTTGAATTCTATAATATGGCTCAACAACCTCTATGGCGCTACCTTATAATGGTCTAAACACATGTACATGATTTCATAGAACATGTCATTAAATAGATCATGTTGTTGATGTGTATTTGATTGGGAGAAACTTACACATGGAAACTTTCGAAAATCTCTAACCTTTAAAATACTGAAATTACAACAAAACAAAAACAAGAGTTTAGATGAGTTTTATAGTCCATATAATATGTTTAAATAACTGCGACGAATATAAAAGTGTTCCGACAGCATGCAGGATCTTGTTACAATGTCTTTAATTTGTAAAATTTGGAGAGTCGATGTATATTTTTGTTATAGTATATATTTAATTAGGATATTGTAAGGAGTTTTCTATAGTTTTGCTAATTGCATGTTATATTTGACCATTTAAGCAAAATTCGTTCGATAAATTTATAAATTTATGAACTGGTTTACATCAAATGTATATATACAACAAAACTTATACTACTGTATAACCCATGACAAAACGCGTATAATGATGGAAGGAATCAAGCTGATTTGATAATTTCTAGCCACACCTCAACCGCTCATATATATATGTCACATCATTAATGGTGTAATTATAATTCATTAATGGTGTAATTATAATTCATTACTCAAAGAGAGCTGTGACCAAATGTAAATCTTTCTTCCTAGACAAAAAAAACTAAAAGATGGAATTTTAATCACTCATTTTTCAAATGGAAGAGAAAAAAATGATTATTGTTACGTTTCCACCACGTCATAACTAAAACAAATGATTGCGTTTGCTTTGAAAGAAAGCCAAAAACGGCAAAGAAAGAAAGAAAGCGCGTTTCGAATCCAGGCGTTTGTGTAAGAAAAGCGAAACTCCGTAACGGCGCCGTTACAGGCCTCCGTCACTCTCGAAACGGGACTATAACCATAAGCTCCGTCCGCTCGCCAAGGAATCAAAATCTCATCCGTTGAAACAATCAACGGCTCACGATTTCCTTCGTCTCTCCTTTCTCTCTCTTCCTCCCCCACCAGAATCTCCCCTGCTTTTATTAAGCAGCGAACCAGAAATAGAAAGAAGCAGAGAGCACAAAAAGCTAGAGAGAGAGAGATGAGCGAGAGAAATCCTAGTTCCAAGCGAGATGCGAGAGAGTTTGAAGCTTCGAGCACAAGCACAAGCGTCTCACCTCTCAAAAAGAAAAAGCTCGATGATTCATCAACGGACTCTCCTGATGTCGTCATCCTCGCCGTTCCTTCTTCCTCTGTGGCTTCAGCGGCTGATTTAGCTCCAGGTGGATTCTCTGTTCCCTCCGCCGGAGAAGACGATGATCAGAGCTCTAGCATCTGCTGTTTGAGCAGCGAGTCGAACGAAATCGCGAGGAACAGTCCGACGTCTGTCGTAGATCTGGAGGTAAATTTTTTTGAAATCCGAAGCTTGTCTCTACTTGAAATTCCTTTTTGTCTATTTGTTTTCCCCCAGAAAAATTATCGAGAAATAATCATTCAGTGACTCGATTTTTTTTTCTCAGTTTTCTTTCATGTAATCTGTAACAACAACAAAAAAATCACCATTGATTTTCTTTCCGTTTCTGTGTTCAGACTCGTGAAATCTCCGAAGTTTCAACATCAATCACCAGCAATTTCAGGTTAATAATCAATCTCTCTTTATTTTGTTTTTTTTCCCCAAATTAGACAGTTTTGATAGTCTTTTCTCGCATTCTGATCTCTGTTTTTCGGCGCATTTATCGCAGAAAAGAGGAGAATCCAGCTTTTTTGGGAGAAACAACTACAACAGAGATGGAATCACCATCGGCGACGGAGAGAGATGACCGGAAAAAACCACGGGAGGTGGACACGAGTCCGACGCCGGCGGAGGTTGAGAAATTCCTCTCGGAGCTAGAGAATGACGATGAGAAGAAGCGATTCATAGAGAAGTGAGTTCCAATTTTGCTTCCTTAAAAATTTCGTCTCACGTGTGTGTGCGCTTTGATTTTGGGAATTTTGTTTTTTGTTTTTGTTTTTGAGTCCGTGCATTGGGAAGAATGTCTGCGCAGGATAAGAGATGAACCGACGCGTAGTTTAGCAAAAATATCATGAGAGAGAATCAGAATCCTAACGAACACTTTTTGACGCAGGTACAACTTCGATATCGTCAATGACAAACCGCTTGAAGGTCGGTACAAGTGGGATCGACTTAACTAAAGCCATGAAATGAGAAATAGCATATGGATGGAAACAGGAAGAAGAAGAAGGGAAAAGAAAAAAAATAGGTTTCCTTTTTCCTTACTTTCCACTTGTACAGCTCTCTTTTTTTTTCTTAATCAATTTTTAACCCATGTTTAGTTCGTACAAACGAAAAAAAAATACAAATCGGAATTTCGGATCTTTGATTAGTAGTTAACGATGGTTTTCTTATAAAAAGTTTTATCTGGGTTTTGTTTTCGTGGGTTTGTGTTTTAAAAATCAAGTGAGTGAGTACATATATACAAAAATGGTTTAGGCAGATTCATGACAGGCTCAGGTTTTAATTGCATGAATATGGAAAGGTGGTTCTTGTTTGGATTTTAAACATTGGATGCTGCTGCTTATTACGACTATTTTATCTCAACATTTTTGTTTGTCTCTTGTCCTTCTTCTTATTCTTACATTTTCCCGAAAAAACAAACAAACATTATTTAAATGTTTCATAGTTTCAGGTATTATATATAGTACCTTATTTACGAAAGTATCTGAAACCAAAATGTGATTTTTAAATAAGAAAATGGGCGAGAAGAGGAAATGCACCATGACATGACGGTACAGTTGGTATGTACTTCGCTAAAAAAAACTTCGATATTTCTCGTTAATATTCTTTTTTATATTTCCGAATATTCCTCTGATTTTGTTTTTTGATCGGTTCCTCGCTTCTTAACTGTAGGTCCACCACTCAAAAATCATTTGTTTTTTTTTTTTTTTGAACTTTACCACGAAGAAATCATTTTGGCTTTCATTAAAATAAGACAAAAAAACAGCCAAAATAATTTTCCAAATGAAGTTTTACCGTAATAAAATGACTGATTTACAAATGAATAATTGCATTTATATGATATAATTATATAAGGATATAAAATTATAACGTGGGTTGAAATTGTTATAGATAAGAAAAGTAATACAGTACAAAAAAAGGAAGCAAATCGGAGGGGAGTAGTAGGAAAAGTAAATCTCATCATTGCATGATTCGGTTGGGATGCTTTTTTTACCATTTCTTCCCTACTTACCTAGCAGACACAGGCGCGTAGCTGCACGTGCCTCTGTCCCCCAACAATTTATTTATTTAATTATGATTTAAAAGCTCGAGTTCCAACTTGTAAACAAAGAGAGAGAGAGAAAACAAATACTCCAAGGTAAAAAAAAAAAAAAAAACGAATCTTTTTAAAAGGTAAAACAAATGAAGATAATAGCATCCTCCAGAGAATCAGTCCAGATGTATTACAAAATGTGATTGATCATGCAAATGCAACTGCCTTTTTCTACGTCCACCTGTCTCCTTTGTAACGTACCCAGATCATCGCATACTCCCATTTTCTGATTTCATATAAAAATAAGCAAGCACCCACCACACGTGTATATATTTATTTTTTCAACATGTGAAGCCATAGGTTATTTAAATTCATCATACGTTTGTATATAAATATATAATATATATACTTTTGTAGTAGATACTCCCTTCGTTCCAGAATGTATGATGTTTTAGATATTTTACAGATATTAAGAAAACAATGATTATTTACTTTTTTAAAGTACTTTTTGTATGTTTATTAATTTAATACTAATTTTTTATATTTTTTTACCCAAAAAATTGTCTTGAAAACAGAAATATATTAAATATAATGTAGAAAATCAATCTTTGTGGAACAAAATAAAAAACCCAAAACATCATACAATATGAAACGGAGAAAATACTTATGTAGACTTGTTTTGCTTTAAGAGATGGAGCTAGATTCAAGGGTAAGAAAAGCTAACTAAAGGTTAAGCATACAATTACATTTTACTAGATATAAAAAATAAATAAAAAAAGGAAAGGATCAACTTTACGAGAAGAGATTATAATTGAGAAACTAAATTTTCGATCCGCGTAAATTTTTTTCACAAAATACTTTTTTTCCGGTTTTATAAAACATTTTTGGACTACCGCAAAATATTGACTTATGTTATCAAATCCAAAATAATGGCATAAATAAAAATTGATTTGATTTAATTTAAAGTGTGTCTATTTTTTTTTTAGACAACAAAATAAATCGATTTTTTTGTTTAAAATTGAGAAAGTTTCCATTCAAAGAAATCCCTACCAACCCTAACAATTCGAGTCAGTCAACAAAATTTTGTCTAGATTTTAGATTTGTGCTTTGCACAGGTTTTTTTTTTAAATTGTTCTATTCGAAATTTTTTTTTTGTTAACACAACAACTCATTCAATTTGTGTGAGATATATTTTTTGTTTTTTCTAAATTTTATATTTAAATTCTAATCCATATCTAATAGTTTAGATGTTTATTTTTTAAGTCATTTTATTAATGAGGACCAAAAGAATTTAATATTTTTTAAATATAGATTAGCATAGATTGTAACCCATATGTGATAATAAATTGTTTATTCATCATTTATTTTAGTTTTTCATGCATATTTTCTTTCTATTTTAGTTTGTTGGTAATTATTGTTTATAGCTTGATTTTTAACATATTAACCCATAAAAAACGTCAATAAAAAAATTATTTGATAGTTTTGAATTGCTTATCATCTATAAATTAAATCAATCAATTATATATGTGATAGTGCATTTACAATGGTCTTTCATATTATAACAAAAATGATAAGACAAAAATATCCTTAATAAAATTATAACATTTTCTAGTAAATGCAATTGCACATATTGTAAACACCATGATAGCTTTTAAACATTTATTAAGAATGATTTTCTTTTGATAGTTTAGATTTAAATATTTCATAAAATTAAAGTTAAAGTGAGTATTAATCATTAATTTCTTAACATGTGTAATTTTCAAATTGACCGTGTCTCCTCTTTCTTAACCCAACAAAAATACCTTCTTCTTCCTAAAACAGAAACAACATCGTAAAACGGCAGCCTAGGGTTATCGCCTTTTCTCAATTTCTCCATGGACAAGAGCTCTAGCGAGAGACCCGCCGCGAAAAAGAGATCAGCCACCAAAGTAATCTCCTTCTCCTAATGGTTTTCACAAATATATAATACATACCTATATGTAAGAAAAATATCTGATTAGATCTGTTGTACTTTAGAGGAAGAAAATTGATTTGTTCGGCAGTGATGCTGCTATGGAAGCCTACTTGAAGAGTAGCAGAATGCCCCGGTAAATTAATGGATGCTTCTTATTTTTTCCCCGGAGATTTTGTATGTGTTGTCAATTGTTGTTGGTAATGTTTGATCTCCTGCAAAATTAGGGTTAGGATCTCCGTTGAGGGATACGACACTTCGGTTCCTCAGGAAGATATCAAGAAGGCGTTGACTGATCACTTCGCTTCGTGCGGAGAAGTCTTTAATATTATATTCTCTCAAGGCCGTGTCGGGTTCGTTGCTAACTATTTGTGACAATAAAAATTCAGAATATTTTGAATTACCAGATCAAGTTAGCTAAAAACAATTGGTCTTTGTTACAGACGTGCTTTTGTTATTCTTCGCGGAGATGGCGCAGAAGAGAAGGCGTTGCAACTTGATGGAAGTGACGTGGGAGGATGGAGTGCTCGTGTTAAGGTTACACCCGAAGAAGACGAGGAGACGAGACGTTATCGAGCCACTCTTACTAGAGAGACACACGAGGACACAAGATTGTAAGTTGATATGCTTTCTTCTTCTGTTTTTTTCTTTTTCTTTTTTGTGTGTGTCTGTAAGATGTGTTGTTGATATAAACATGCAAATTTGAATACTGCAGTAGGTTTGGCATTACCGTTGAGGGATATGACACTTCGGTTCCTGCGGATGAGCTCAAGAGCACTTTGATCAAGCATTTCTCATCTTGCGGAGAGATCACACATGTTTTTATCAATACTCTCGACAGGTTTGTGTCTTTCTCCAATTTGTGTTTGTGAATTTTCCCCGAGCTTGACTAACTAAAAAATCTTGTTTTTTTGGCAGCATGGCTCATGTTTATTTTGTCCATAAAGACGGAGAAGACAAGGCGCTGCAACTTTTTTTTTTTTTTTTTTGAAAATAAGGCGCTGCAACTTGATGGAAGTGAAGTGGGAGGATGGAAAATAGGTGTTACTATCGTAACTAAACACTACAAGAAAATGTTAACATAGCTACAATTTTATTTGTGGATATAAATTTGTTTTAGTAGCAAATAATAGATCGTAACAAATTTGGATTTTGTATGTATTTAAAGCAAATTGCTACAAATTAGTCACAGCAGTTCATTATCGCATTTTGAATCGAATTTGTTAGTAAATATGTTGTAGCTAAATTGTTACAAAATTGTTTCAAATCGAGTGTAACAAATTAGCTACAAATTGCTTCGTAGATATTGTTGCAAAAAGAGACAAAATTCTACCAAAATTATGGTAACAATTGCGACAAATTGTTTCAACCACTTGTAGTCATTTCGTTACAATGTATGTGGAAAACACCCATAAATAGCTATGAATATTATGTAGGTATTTTAAAAAAAACTAATAAAAAAAAACCAAACCAAATTAAATTATAATAAATAAAAAATACCATTAAAATGTATTAATCTAAAAATTACACATTTAAGAAGTTTTCAATTCTCCTCTTTACAAATAATTATAAGCAAATTTGTAACATTTGCTTCATTCGGTGAACTACCAATACAGCAAAATAAGTACATGGAATTACAAATTAAAATAAGCAAGTATGAAGCCCACGAAAGAAAGCATCAGATTGCAGGCAGGCAATGGATTTTGGTACCTGAGAACGAAGAACTTCCTTGTACATTCCAATTTTTCCTAGAGCAATTGTGAACTTTGTCAATACAGGGCCTGAGCAAATAAAAGATTTTCTTCAGATACAAAGAGAAACAATGCAGAATTCAGGTTACTAAAATGAGGAAAAGTAGAGAGAAACAAAGAAGGTACCTCCGAAAGATTCAAATGCATTTATAAAGGCAATATCTGCATCATACCCTTCTCCGACTCCGAGTCCCTTCCTAAAAAACAAGTCAAAGAAAAATCAGAGAATACATAATATTTCTTATAGAGCTGAATATAGTGCTACAAGCTACCCTAGTAACTGCAATAACCAATAACCATAGGAGTAAAACAAAAGATTTAGACTTAGAACATCAGTCTTGCAAGTTACTAAGGTGAAGTTCATATCAGATTAGGCTAGGGAATGCAACAAGCGGTTTACGCTAAGAGAAAAAAGAGTCTCAGTTTTAGGTACTTACCGCATTGCCAATGCTTAAAAAGACTTCCTGAGAGTTAGAGACTTGACCAGTGACAACCTTTTTCAAGGCATCTGATGTCAAAGGAAAATGAGGTCCACCAGTGACTTTTTCACCTAGTCGTAGGAAAGGCACCACAAGACTTCAACGCAAAAACAACAATCGAAGTCAGGAAGAAAACTTGATAACAACAACAATACCGTAACCAGGAAGCAAGGAACACGAGAAGGTTTAGGATCAAGTTGAAAGAAACCTTGACATCTGACCCGTGACAAACCTGAGAGGATCAGCACTTCAAACACGCGAACACAGCGAGCTAGCTTTTGCCACCTACAGATAAAAATCAGCCACACCAAAGATCCAAAAGATCCGGCACCATCCGCTTAGCAACAGCCGAGATCCGCTCAGATCTAATCCTCTTTGCCTCAACTCCACACCAAAAGAACCACCCATCGATTCTCATCACAAGCCTAAAAACAAACTACAAGCCAATAGAACAGCAAAAAGGAAAGGACTGACCGACGCCGACGCTGTGGGAGCCGTCTGACACCGATCAATCAAAAAGAACATGTTTAGTGTACATAGATGTAAACCAAATCCTATGATAATTTAAACAATAAGGTACTAGAAATCAATATAGAGCTTCTTTGACTCAATCCAAGTGACAGAGTTATGATTTATTTACCTTGTGAAGCGAATGGTTGAGGAATAAGATGCAATCGCCGATCGAGTTGAAGATGGAGAGAGATTTGAAACCGGTAAAACCCTTGACAGATCTGACGAGAGCGATAAGGAAGATGGACAAAGAGCGAGTGAGAGAGTCGAAAGTTTGATCGAAGAGTGAGAGAGACGAGTGCTTGATGGGAGAAATGGAGAACTCTAGGTTTTTCTGAAAGAAAAAGCGGCAATAACGAAGGAGATACACACTTTTCACATTGAATAAGTAATGTAAATATCTGATATGTTAGAATTATATGTTTTCATTTCTTAAAGTTTTGTTACAAAACAATTTTAGATTTAAGTGGGTTAGAAAGTGGTAGGAAAATAGTAGGAAAAAATTAAATATTTTTGGTAGATAAGTGGTAGGAATTAATTTTCCTAAGAAATCGGTGGTAGGAATTAATTTTCACCAAGTTCCTACCACTATTTCTGACGTATTTTCCTACAACTCTATTTTGTTAGAAATTTCTTACGAGTTATTTATCAGATTCGATTTTAAACGACAAATAAGATACTATATATTTTGATAGAAAATTGGTAGGAAACAGTTATTATCAACTAACTTCCTACGATATTATTATAGGAATCAAATCCGATCGGATCGGATATTTTGGATTTCAGATATTTCGGAACTATAGCTTTGGTACCGATCATGTATTATTATATTTCAGATTGGATTCGGTTAGGATCTCTTTGTATACAGATTGGTTTGGATATAATTTTATGGATCCGGTTTTTTTGGATTCGGTCCGAGTTCAAGTACTTTTCCAAAAAATAATCGAAAATATCTAAATATGACCAAAAATATTCAAAAATAACCAAAAATCTAAACATATATAAAAATTCAAAAATAACTAAAATAGTATCAATTTCAATTCACACTAAACTTTAAAAATTTTAAACAAATAAATATTCAAATTCCTACTTCAAATTGTCACCAAAGGATATAAATACAAAGAACATAAAACATAAATACTAAGAGAACTTGAAAAATCGGATATTTTGAATAATTTTTTGGATATCTGATCGGATCCGGATATTACCGAGTACCCAGAAGTCAGTAACAATTATATCTGATGGGGTATTGTGAAAAATCAGATATTTTTGGATCAGATTTTTAGATCGGATCGGGATCGAAATTTTGGATCGGATCTGAATCAGATTTTTGGATCTGGATAAAATACATAGCCCCTAGGAAAATGTGTTGTTTTCATATAGTGAAGAATTTTGCAACACCACCTAAATCAATGTAAATTTGTAACATTTTGTTACAATTTTATTACAAATTTGTTATGTTAAATATTGTTACAACTACTGTGTGATAAAGTTGTAGCACATATGCGACAATTTTAAAGTTGTCTCTAATTTGTCTCTAATTCGCTACGAAATTTCACCAATTTACCACAAAAAATAGATTTTTTAAAAACGTCACTAATTTGTATCAATTTGTAATAAAATTTTGCCACTATTTCTTGATGTAGCAAATTTTGTAGCTATGCTACTTAATTCTTGTAGTGAAAGCACGTTGTTATAATGACCCTACTCTCTATGCCCGCGGCCCAAGTCGTTATGGGTGCTGTGTCCCAGGTACATCAATTTGTTTCTTTGATTTCAAAGTAAAACTTGTCATGAATTCTTCGTCGTTTATTGTATATGCAGCTCATTGTATAATGATGGCTGCCGAGGTCCATGAGAAGCTCATGGAGTTTAAGAAGATGAGGGGGTTGGTGTAGATACAATGCAACCTTTGTCTTTTTTTAATTTTATACTTATTTTCTGATCTGAATTTCATATTGAGCCGTTTGTATGTGGATGATTAGAATAATTAGCTCAATATAATCATTGACTTAGTATTATGAGCCGTAAGCTAGATGAGTAAAATAACACAATACTTTTATCAAGAAAAATATACATAAAGAGACTCGAATCCATCTATTATTTGCCAATTATTTTTTGAGTTAAAAAGTCTATGAAATTTAAGAGTGATAAACAACGCCTACTACTGTCTTGTGTTTATATATATTATTGTTTGGCCAATGTGATTGATAGAAAATAGTTTTGTAGTATTGGCTAGATTTTGCTAGTTTCTTGTACCGCAAGATATCAATTTTGAGTCTGATTTGCATTGGTGTTAGGTCAGAAAAGTTTAGCATTGTTAAGAAATCTCAGGGCTAAACCATTCAACTCTGATCAAATACAAGGGTAATTAGTGAGGTGCAGTTGAGTTAATATGATGGGAGCATTGGATTTCTTAAGTTTGTGGGCTAAATTACCATTTGAGTCTTTTAAATCATGTCATTTTTTAAATACTGAATCAGAAAAATAGACCGATATGGTTTGATAGTTTATTGGTTTTGAAAATGTTCGAAAAGGATTTGAAGTTGCCTTGCAATTAATTATAGCTGAAAGTAAACAAACATTTACGAATGAGATCAATCGATGGATTCAGCATGTATAGTATTGTCAACAATTTGAGAGCGTAGGTCGTAGTTCTATCTGTTTGGGCTTTGTTGTTGGTTCTTCTTTAAGGCCCAACACCATGCTTGATCCGCCGATTTTAGGATTTAAATTCACACTCTCGATCTTCCTCTGACTACAAACGCTGTTCTCGGCGAGGAAGACGAAGTTCCGGTGGAACATGAAATCGGAGAATCTGGGCCAGTTTAAGGCCTCTAATTCAAATGAGTTATATATTGGGCCCATTTAAGAAAAGTTCCTATAATAGTTTTCAAAGAAGACGACAAGTTACATACAGTGTAGTAGATTTTTGTTGTTGTTGTGTTGTGTGTTTTTCAGCTTCACTGTAAAGCATGATGCATATATTCATAAAGAAGCCAACAGAGCTGACTCTTTCTTACAGTAAAAAAAAACGGTCAATATTGATTTTTACCCAATCCTCGTGAGCTTTTTTTATTAAATCAGTTATTTTATTAAACCCTAGAAGAAATAAATGTGTAAGTGGCTAAGTGCGGTGGAATCAGAGCCGTCGATTTCAGAACACACACGGCTTCGGCAAGAAACTGGGCCCCACGTTTCGGCCACTTCCCAAAGACCCATAGATTCAGCCTTAAACCCCCAACTCCCTCTCTCTCTCTCTCCGCCTCCCTTTAAAGACCAAATCTCTCTCTTTTACTCTCTCTCTCTCTCTCTCTCTCTCTCTTTTCCTCTTTCCTCCATTACAGAGCTCAACGGAGCTCTCTCTCCTTCTCAACGCACTCCTTTGGCCTCGGAGGGATACAAGAAGGGATATTGAAGCTCTGAAATCTAACCCGGATACTCTGTTTTTCCATTTTCCGGATATCAGATCGGATCGGATCGGATTCTAAATTTTAAACGATTCTTAAGATGCAGACGACAAACGGCTCAGATTCAGCGTTGGCAACTCCCGGAGCCACTCCTCCGATTCATCAAACGACTCCTCCGCCTCAGTGGCAGCAGCAACCGCAGCAGCAGCAACAGTGGATGGCGGCCATGCAGTATCCGGCGGCGGCGATGATGATGATGCAGCAGCAACAGATGATGATGTATCCTCACCAATACGTTCCTTACAATCAAGGCCATTATCAGCCTCATCCCCAGCTCCAATACGCGGCTTATCAGCAGCATAAGCCACATGACCGCGGATCTGGAGAAGATGTCAAGACTCTCTGGATCGGTGATCTTCTTCATTGGATGGACGAGACTTATCTCCACACCTGCTTTTCTCACACCGGCGAGGTATATAGTTTCTAAATCTTACCCTTTTATTGGTCACTCTGTTCGGATTCGCTTTCAATGAAAGGTGTTTCGAAGTTGTGGTGTGTGCAGATCTTGAACATGTTTTTGAATTTCTTGTGTGTTTGTACCATTTCCAAGCCAAAGACTCTATTTTTTTTGGCAAGGTTCTCGATTTTTGTTTTGTTTAGTTAAAACACTGCTTACTTGGATTAGATCGAATGATTATTGGATTTGCGTAGAAACAAATAGGGTAATGGAAAACAGCATTGACCTGAAAAGGACAGGATATGTTCAGGTTTTCGTTAGGCAAAAAGTAGTCTAGTACATTGCCACGTTTAGATGAACTTTTCTGCTAAGGAGAAAAAAAAAAACAAAAACATAAAGCATGTAAATAGATCATACTTCAATGATATTTAGTTTTGTTTATTTTTTAATTCTTTGTCTGAGTTTTCTTGTTTTTTTCTGATGCGCAGGTCTCTTCAGTGAAAGTGATTCGTAACAAGCTAACTTGTCAGTCAGAAGGGTATGGGTTCGTCGAGTTTCTTTCACGAGCTGCAGCTGAAGAAGTTCTTCAGACATTTAGTGGCTCAGTGATGCCAAACTCGGAGCAGCCTTTCCGACTAAACTGGGCATCTTTTAGTACCGGTGAGAAGAGAGCAGTGGAGAACGGTCCAGAGCTCTCGATATTTGTTGGTGATTTGTCTCCGGATGTGACTGACACGTTATTGCAAGACCTGTTTGTTGAGAGATATCCATCTGTCAAAAGCGCCAAAGTTGTGATCGATTCCAACACCGGCCGGTCCAAAGGCTACGGTTTTGTCAGGTTTGGTGATGAAAACGAGAGGTCAAGGGCCCTGACTGAGATGAATGGAGCTTTCTGCTCAAACAGGCAAATGCGCGTTGGCATCGCAACCCCGAAAAGAGCGGTTGCTAATCAGCAACAACATTCTTCACAAGGTGACATATCGTCTTCACCCTATAATGTTTGGTTTCTTTTTCTTACTTCTCTGTGTGGTTAGTGGTTAGTGATTGCAACTACTAGTTAATGCATTCAACCAAAGTTTTAATGTTTTCATGGGAACAGCTCTGATACTTGCTGGTGGACATGGAGCAAATGGTTACATGGGTCATCATGGCTCGCAGTCTGATGGCGAATCAAACAACTCAACAGTGAGTGGTCGTGTCCTTTTCCACTGCTAACATTATTCAAGCTATGTATTTGTTCTCGCTGCTCATTGTCTTTGGTTCTGCTGCAGATATTTGTTGGCGGACTTGACCCTGATGTTACTGATGAAGACCTCAGAGAACCTTTTCTCCAGTTTGGCGAGGTTGTTTCAGTGAAGATTCCGGTAGGCAAAGGATGTGGGTTTGTCCAATTTTCTAACAGGTGCGGTCTTTATACCTGGAACTGTGTGCTTGTCTGTCTTAAGACTGAGCCAACCTGTAGCTGCGGTGCCTTATTTAATAGCGACTTGCCTTTGGTTTTTGACAGGAAGAGTGCTGATGATGCCATCCAGAGTTTGAACGGGACAGTCATCGGGAAGAACACTGTCAGACTCTCTTGGGGACGAAGCCCTAACAAGCAGGTAAACTTTTTTTTACTTTTGACATTGTCAAACTTTGCAAGTAAGCCTTTACTTTTGTTAGTGGTTGACCATATATGCAATTAGCTGGTGGAGTATAGCACCTTCCTTCGTTTTCTCTTTTGATTATGCAAGTGGGAATATATAAAACATGAACTCCATAACACAACTTTGTTTGATCTATCTTCAGTTTACTTAGTGTGTTGTTTTGTCTTACTTGTGGCAGTGGAGAGGAGGAGACTCAGGGCAGCAGTGGAATGGAGGATACTCAAGAGGACAAGGTTACAACAATGGAGGATATGCTAACCACCACGACTCCAACACTTATCCTGCTGAGACTTGAAGTGATCAATGATCATTGTGGTTTTATTAAGCCTCTGTGATTCACACATCAATCAATTCGAAGCTAAACTTGTAGTCCAAAGGAGAGAATTTTGTTAGATGGATTTGATTTTAATAGACTTTGTTGTTGTTTCGAGATTCATAATTTTTGGTTACTGGTTTTGTCTCGTCTCAGACTAATTATATTAATGGTTGTGCTTGTTTTGATCATCATTTTCGTTAACGTTTTTATAACAGCTCCATAAATAAAGACCAAAAATTTACTTTTTAAAATCAATTTTAATTTCGAAAAACTTTTTAACTATAAACCCTCTCTCTCTTTTTCCTTACAATTTCCTCAGAGAAAGAAAGAGAGTGAAGCGATGGAAGAAGCTTTCATGGCGATGCTCTCGCATCTGCTGCATCTCCAAAACTCCTTGGATCCTTCAACCACTATCTTCTCCTCTGCCACCACATCTTCGCCGTCTTCCACTACACCTTCCTCCCTCCTCTCCTCTTCCTCCGCCGCGCCTTTACTCTTCTTCACTCTCGCTTCCCTCCTCTCCTTCCTCGCCGTCAACAGATCTTCCTCTTCAACCAACTCCGGCGACTCCTCATCCTCCGACTCTCCTTCCCCTCCGCCGCCTCTTCCCGACGGCGATTACTCCGTCACCGCCTTCCGTGCCCTAGCCAACGACCACATCTGGGCCCTCGATGCGCCTCTCCGCGATGTTCGTTGGCGCTCATTGTACGGACTCTCGTACCCTGTCTTCACCACCGTCGTCGAGAAGCTCCAGCCCTTCATCACCGCCTCCAATCTCTCCCTCCCCGCCGATTACGCCGTCGCCATGGTTCTATCCCGTCTCGCCCATGGCTGCTCAGCCAAAACTCTAGCCTCTCGCTACTCCCTCGATCCATACCTCATCTCGAAGATCACAAACATGGTCACCCGGCTCTTGGCCACCAAGCTCTACCCGGAATTCATCAAGATCCCCGTCGGAAAACGCCGATTGATCGAAACGACTCAGGGATTCGAGGAGCTCACCTCTCTCCCCAACATCTGCGGCGCAATCGACAGCACTCCCGTGAAGCTCAGGCGCCGCACGAAGCTGAACCCTAGAAACATTTACAGTAGCAAGTACGGATACGACGCCGTTCTGCTTCAGGTCGTCGCTGACCACAAGAAGATCTTCTGGGACGTCTGCGTGAAAGCTCCCGGCGGAGAAGACGACTCCTCCCATTTCAGAGACAGTCTTCTCTACAAGCGGCTTACTTCAGGGGACATTGTTTGGGAAAAAGTGATCAATGTTAGAGGTCACCATGTGAGACCATACATTGTAGGAGACTGGTGTTACCCTCTTCTCTCCTTTCTGATGACGCCATTCTCCCCAAACGGCTCTGGTTCGCCGCCGGAGAATCTATTCGACGGGATGCTGATGAAAGGGAGGTCAGTGGTGGTGGAAGCCATTGGGTTGCTCAAGGCTCGATGGAAGATTCTTCAGAGTTTGAATGTAGGAGTGAACCACGCTCCTCAGACGATTGTGGCTTGTTGTGTGTTGCACAATCTGTGCCAGATTGCTAGAGAACCTGAGCCGGAGATTTGGAAGGATCCAGATGAAGCTGGATCACCTGCAAGAGTGTTTGAGAGTGAGAGGCAGTTCTACTATTACGGGCAGAGCTTGAGGCAAGGGTTGGCAGATGATTTGCATCAGAGGCTCTCTACGAGGTAGAAGACATGTTGTGGTTGCTCTTGTGCCTGACTCGATTCCTCTACAATGGTAATCTGAGATTGTTATCATGTAAGAAGCAGGTGTTTTTTCAAGTGTTTAGATATCGTTTTAGAATCGATCCTTCATGAGAAGAAAGTTTTCGGTTTTAGCTTCAAGTTTGAGGATTCAGATACGCTATAAGCTGACTTGGGGATATGTGTTTAGGGTTTGTTCTGTGACACATTGAGAATGAAAATGTAACGACTTTTCTTGGAATTTAATCTGAAATTGTGAAACTCTTTTCCTGGAGATAGTCGAATGAAAAAAAGAGAGAAAGGGATGTTCATAAATCTCTCGTCTTATATAATCGTGAAGAGCATGAATATCATCTTACTACAACTTTCTAGGCCTGTTGGATTTTTTTGATACTCTCTTGTGGGAACTTTTTGGATTCATCCTCTTTAACACTATAAACATAGGAATGGGTAAAGTTCTTGACATCCATCCATTCGCTGCTGTATGAATTTTCCTCTTATGAATCCGTCAAAACGCTTCACCGTGTTTTGGCTAAAGGTTGTCGAGTAGAGACACCGTGCAAGAGTTTGACAAAACCTAAGAAGCTCAGTTTCCCATCAGTGTGCCTTATCCAGTCATGTAGAATGGTATGGACCGGGATCGATGATCCAACACCGAGTTCCTACAAAAACGTTGTTGAAACTCTCCTTTAGGAATCATCTGAAGATATATATATATATATATATATATATAGTGGAAAAGGAAAGTCCAAGTGAAGAAGACAACAAACTTACGGAAGCGAGTTCTTCGATGACGATGACTCGGTTTCCGTTCATCTCAAAGAGCTCATAAGCATGGCGAACGCTCTGCTCCCAACAGTCCAGTGACTCATGCTGATGAACGCTAATGGAAGCTGCACAAAACTCTTCAAAATCCATCCCTTTGTATTGAAGTCCATTTAACTGGTCATTACCCCAACACCCAAACTTTTGTAAAACCAACCTTGTATTGAATCTTAAAAAACAGGTAAAGCAAGAGGCCAAGAACAGGACAATACCAATGCAAGAAAGTCCGGGATCCGTGATTCCTTCATTGCTTCTGTTGCATTTGTAGCAAGTGCCTGTCCAACAGAAATCGAATCTATAGCTTTGAGCTGTATGTTCTCTACCAGAGAGAGAGAGAGAGAGAGAGAGTTGGGAGAGAGAAGGTGCATACCGATCTGATGCTATCCAAAGTGATGAGGCCACTTTTGTTGGGTTCTAAGATTGCAAACTGCGCTTTCAGATATAGAAGTTCATCTGTAATCAATGTCTTGGACAGAGCCTGGTGACAGCATAAGAGTTGGGATCAGTCACACCCTTTAGTGGTCTTTAGACATTAAAACGAAAAAAAAAACAGTAGAAGGGTTACAAGAAAAAATGTACCATCAAAGCAGCTTTGCGCAAAGACGAAGATTTCAAGTATGCTTTCATCTGCCTGAAGATTAGAATATCAAATGGGATATTCATGTTCTTATTACCCGCGATCCAAGGATGCACTGGAAAGCAAAAAAAGGTATAAGTAACATTGATTGGTAATTTAATCAAAGAAAGATTGTGTAGGTTTTAGAGTTACTGACTTAAAGCTTGAGAGGCTGTCATTCTTTTTCGAGGGTCTTTGTACAATAGCCGCTTAACAAAATCTTTGGCCTCCAAGGATAATGAAGGCCAAGGAGGTTCATCAAAACTCGGATCAGCTTTAAGAACTGCCCTGAAAATCCCTGATTCAGTTCTTGCCCAAAAAGGACGGCTTCCACATAAGAGGATGTATGCGATTACTCCTATGCTCCATACGTCTGCTTCCGTGGTATAAGATCTGTGTAGAACTTCAGGGGCTACGTAATATGCACTTCCCACTATATCATTTAGTCTTTCGTCTGGTCTGACAAAGTCTGATAGACCAAAATCTATGACTTTCAACTGAGAATTCTCCTCCTTGGAAGTGTACAAGAAGTTCTGGTACATGAAAGCGTTTCAAATTTTTGAGTTCGGTGAAGTTTCAAACTAAGAGAGAGAAGATTTTTCTTTCAGATTTTTTTAAAAGGGAAAAAACAAAGATGAATGATGTGGTTCACCTCTGGTTTAAGATCTCGATGAACAACTCCTTGGAGATGACAGAAAGCTACAACGTTAAGGATCTGTGTAAGCACTGCTTTTGCATCATCTTCAGAGTATTTCCCTCCCCTAAAAGAGAATATTATATAATTAGACAGGCAATACAACATCCATCTCTAAGAAGAATCTCTGACTATAACATAAAACAAATTTCATAGCAATGATTGTCTTTCTTTAACAAATAACAACAGACCTTGCTAGTATTCTGTCAAGGAGTTCACCACCTCCACATAACCTGAAAGTTCCAAGAAAGTAGTTCTTTCACAGATGAACATTTTTTAAATCTGATAGTATATTCTTTTCCTGAAAATCTAATTAAAATCTCGTTGATTCAAACATTGTATACTTACTCCATAACGATGTAGACGTTGGCATTGTCCTCGAAAGCATCATAGAACTGTACCAGATTGCTATGTCCGGATAACGCCCGCAGGATTTTTACTTCTCTTCTCACATCCTCTATAGATATTGCAGTTGTCATCTGCCAAACCAAAGCTAATGAGCAAACAGTCTATTATAGATAAAGCTAACACTCAAATCAACACAGCATCTTTCACCCCATCTGTAGTATAATATGCCAATGTGCCTATGCGGATCCAGAATTCAAATAACTTGATTGCATGATACACAATTGCATATGGTGACCATAATGACATAAGCAGACAAATGTCTACGCTTCCAATTTATTGACCAATTTAAAAACGTGTAGAACTTTTCACCACAAAAGTCAGCAAAACTTACATCCGTACGTTACCACTGAACATGTTGGCCTTTGACAAACATGGATGAATATTATTAATCTTATCGAAAACTATATAACCTCATCCGAATTCATACATACTACTTGTTTGTCTATCAAGTTCTAAGCATAAAAAAAGTCCACACGCCATTAATTTTCCAACAAGATGGCTCAAAGAAAGAGGACACTAAGTTTCATAGAGAAGGAAAGAAACATCAAGAGAACGTATGAATGGTTCCTTTTTCTAAGTCTCTTCTACTTGCAGCCATAAGCTATTCTTATTACCTTGAAACAGAGTAATATCTAATAACCAAAAATCAGACAACGAACAAGAGACACACAATTCTGTCATTTCTCGAATTTAGCTATCACTACAATACAGGGAAGCATTTCTCCCTCACCAATCATCAAGAGCATGAAAACTTAAAGCCAATTGAAGCAAAAAAAGAGAGTAAAGATGGAAACTTGAGAAATGATTGAATTGTGAAAATTGACCTTAGATTTAGGGATGACTTTAACAGCAACCTCGTGATCCTTGAGCTCTCCTTTCTTGAACTTAGCAGAGCAAGTGTACCCAAAATGCCCTCGCCCAATCTCTTCCCCTAATTCCATCCTGCTCTGAAACTCCTTGGAGAAGCCAAATCTCTTGTCCAGCCCTACTTCCTCTCTCTCCTCCTCCGTCTGCTGCTGACTCGCAGCGGGCAGAGCAGCCTCTTTCTTCAGCTTCCTCCGCCGCAGAACATCCCGTATGTGTTTCGCCGGCGAAGGAGGGTGGAAAGCACGCGCGAGCTGACGGAGCGGAGTGCTGGTAACGCTCTTGCTCTCTTCTCCTCTTCCACTGCCTCCGCCGTCGCGGCTCTTGTTACGGCGGTGCCGGGCGGGGCTCGGAGTGTAGAAGGGGAAGAAAGGAGACGCTTTTATGGCGGTTGAGGTACGAACAGGTGATTTCCTGGGATGGGCAGGGGTAGAATCGTCATTCTGGGGAACCGCGTCTCTGGGCGCGTAGGGATTAGGTTTGACGGAGTCGGAGGGTTTGGAGGTACATCCTCCCATAGTCTTCTACGGTTAAGAGACCAATTGAAAAATCTAAAATTAGACAGGAGAAGATTTGGGACACTGGACTTTATGAGAATCACAGCAATGACATTGAAGCTCTGGTTTTAGAGAGAGAGAGGGAGGAAGTGAGCTGTAGAGGAGAGAGAGGCCACATGGCAGAATCTGCGGGTGTTAAATTGGTTTGATCTGATGAAGGTAGATGTGGATTGGTGGAAATTAGTTGCTTTTTGCCACGTCTTTCTACTTTTGTCTTTTTTATTTTATTTTATTTTACACATATGTTTACTTACTCTTTGTTATTTCTCTAAGCAATATACGTTTTCTTGTTTTACTTTGTGTTTATTTTTTGTTGTCTTTTGTGGAGGGGGCCTATAGTTTTTGTCTTTTGTATTTTGACATGTATTCGAGAAATATCAAACCAATAAAAGTTTAACGTAAATTGGTGAATGGTGAAGATCTCAATTTATGAACAATCTTGTAGAAAGGATATAATAAATAAAAACGGTTTCGCAATCTACTAATGAATAATCAATACTACAAATTAAGATGAACACAAAGATTTTGTGAATATGATTTCTGTTTACTTAGTAAGAACAAATTAATCTAATATTTATTAATTACCCAACATGTTTGTATTTTAGAACAAAATATACATTTACGTAGGGTTTTTACATTGTATAGCATATTTTACCACTTGGCACATCGTGTCATTGTGTCTAAGCTATCTTTTTAAGTAACGAACCCAAAAATGGAACTCCGAAACTCGTGAAAATATCCCAAGCAAACTTACCATAACTACATGCGTTTACCAGCAGAAGTAGTTTGTTTTTAGCATTGAAACAAAAAGGTGGTCCATTGTTAACAATTTTACAATTGTAACGACCAGCATGTGGTTGGTGGTGGTAACAAGTTTTTTTTTTTGTAGTTTTGTAGAGATTTTAGTAAAAAATTGTTATATATAAACCATGAATCATAGTCCATGCATGGAAATGCATATGTATGTAGTTATATTGTTCATTCTATTTTCTCTAGTAGAAACCAAATGGTCGGCGATGAATCTAACTTTTAAATCTATATTTGCTTATATTTAACTGTAGTCAAGATAATTTCGCTCTCAAAATCAGGATTACGTTACAAATATATATATCAATTGAATGTATGCATACATCTCTGCTTGTTCTTGAAACATGTTAATAGATATCTGTAGCCCAACTACTTCATTGTATCTGGACAGGATGTATCTCAATTTTCAATATGTTTATTAGATTTCAGCGTCTTCAAGAAAATCACTGGTCCACATCTCTAATTTATTCTCACTAACTCTAGATTTGATGATCTCTCTCGAATAGTTTACAAGATCGTAGAAATTACAATTTTTTATTTTATTTTCATCCTCCCTTTAGTACTTGATCTATATTATAGACTAAGAATTTTGTAACAATTATTTTGATCTTTTCATATATTTCTTCATTTTTTAATGGTATAATGATTAGATTTCTTTCTACTACCAATCTTCGAGTCACATATATACTCAATTATTTAACTAGTCAACTAACTCAAAAATGCTAGAAGCCCTTCATTATTCAATTAATCTCACAAATTTTTTTTATCAAAACATACAAAAAGAAATCCATCCAAATAAGAGAATAAATAAAAAAACTGAAAGAAGATTATATAAAGAAAAAGCCCTCACAAAAACTTCGCCCATGCCTTCGTAGTTCATACACTATAGCTATAGCTTCTTCCTCCCAAAGTCATGTTCTTGCTTCTGTGAACCCATATCTTAAGAAAAAAACAACCCACATGTGTTATTTGGTTAACTCTATAGCTTTTTTTATCTCTACTATAATAAAATGGATAATAAGTAGGAGTCGTCGTCGTTGGTAGGGAAATATTTAGAGATTGTTAGGTGAAAGTGAGATCGAAGGTTTGCCACGTCCCATGGTGAAGCCTCTGGTTCCATCAGGCATTCTTGGTCCCTTTGTTGCTGTTTTTGGAGACGAAGATTCGTGTGGGCCTAGGCTCGGTGACATGGAACCGAGGCTGAGTCCGAGCCCGATCCCGAAGCTACGTCCTCCTCCTCCTACCGCATAGCTTCTTGGAGATCGTCCTCGTCCTTTTCCTCTCCCTTTTCCCCACAGTCCACCAACATTGTTGTCATCACCCTAACGTGCAAGGCAAAAAATGTTTTTTACCTTAATAAAAAAAAAAATGTATACATATATAGAAAGACAGTGTGTGAATGGATTAAGCTACACCAACGTCATTATCAAGCTGTTGATCGGTTAAATGGAGACGTGGAGAGTCTTCTCCTGATTCATAGGAAGGGAGTTCATCATCGATGAGGATGCCATCGAAGTTTCTTCTGTTCTTGAGGACTGATTTGGGCTGTTGTTAAACACAAATTATCCAAATTTAATCTCAAAACGTTTTGAGAAATGTGTTGATAAATATATATAAGTGTCATTGACTTACCGAGCATCTAAGAAGCAGCCTCACACGAAGTCCTTTCCTCCAGTTTCTTTCATCGTTTAGCTTCTCAACCTTTATCGTTCACATTTGATATCTCTTAGAAACTAATATAGAGCTTATATTTGGATCAAAGATAAAAGTGTAAATGAAAAGATTCACTCACAGCTTTATCCGCGATAACAGTGTTGTCATACTCGATAAGGGCGTGAATCTTTGGATTAAAAACAAGAAGAATGTTAAGCTCTTGAAGAAAATATCAAGAACTGAATTAAGAAACAGATGAAGGAATCTAATTACTTTGTTGCTCATCAGGAAATCTCCTTTTGGACGAGAGGAGGTAGATTCTGGTGGATGACAGATACGAATCGCTTTAACGCTGAAACAGAATCAGATTTTCTGTTTGTTAACTAATACAGAGAAAGCCATGTTTAAGTGAAAGCATGAAACAGAGTTTAAAAGGTCTTCTTACGTTCCAACAACTCCAAAGATCTTCTCAAGGTTCTGGTAAGAGTGATCATCTGGCAAATTCTCTGCAACAACCGTCCGTGCCTGTAGTACAAACAGAGACAAGAAGTAATTTACATATTCAGTAGTTGATTATATATAAAAATACAATAAAGGCTTTTCATGTTATTAAATTACCTGTAATTCCTCTCTGTCTCTATCAGTGAATGGACTTTTACGCTTAACTCTCTTGCTGTCTTCACTCACAACCTTTAATTTGTTCACAAAATATAATCTCACTATAATGTGATCTTATTATAAATTTGGTGATGATTAGCTAAGAATAAAAAAAGGAGGCTTACGAGCTTTGAGGAGGAACGTAGAGCAAGTGAAACTAAGTGGTGATTACTCGTCAAAGCCTTGATCTTCTTGGTCGATGCGATATAAGATATGGGCACTGCGTTTGAAGTGAGCCAGACACATGAACGCATAACAGAATTTGAACATCTTCACACACAAAAAAAAAACAAATTTGGGCTTACCATAACCTTCAGGGTCTTTGTTTATGTGCTTTGAAATTGACTCATTGGCGAGGAGACTCATGTCCGTGAACTGGTACTCAACCTATAAGTTGGTTTCTTGCGAGTCAAGAAAATGATGAATCTTGACTAAAATTTGGAACTCAAAGGCTAAAGTTTATCGGTAGAGGAGAAATATAGTATTAATCATATTATTTGATTCATGTGATAATTGTTCACTTTGTTGCATATGGTTGTTGTAATTCGGATCTCATGACATAATTTTTTTTTTTTTAACAATAATACATAAAGGAATGCTAATCAATAAGTAAAAACAGGGGAAATGAAAAAAAGTAAAACCTGTTTGACGATCTTAAGGCGGAGATCGTCGGAGAGCAGATTCTTCGACGAAGACGGCGAGTTCTGATTCGCCGGAAACTGAACCGCCGGATTCGAAATGTAAAACGCAGCCGTCGGATCGTGAAGGTGTTGATGCTGAGTAGGATCTCCTCCTCCGACGAAGATCCAATCCGACGACTGAGAACCAACGCTGGTTCCTCCTCCGCCGCAGACTCCGCCGGTGCATCCTCCTACGCAACCGCCGTTGTAGTGGAAGCAAGGATAGAAGTAACCGGAGAGGGGAGAAACCTGCGGTGTTGGTGCGGTAGTATGCGATCGCGGTACGAATTCCGGCGCCTGAGCGTTGAATTTGAACGCTGACGATACCTGAGAACCCGAAGATCCGCCGCCTCCTCCGTCTAATAACTTCTTCTCCGTCGTCTCCTTCGTGACGGATTCTACTTCTTCTCGTTGCATCTGCGCCATTTTCCTCTCTCACTCTGCAAAAATCTCTGTAACAACAATTTTTTTGTTTTTCTGGTATTTATTAAAACTAAAATTGCAAATCTAAACAATATTAATTAATACTGAGTTGTTTTGATGGTTTTTCTGCTTTTTCTTTTGATTTGATTTCTTCTTCTCTAGTTTTTTTTTTCTCACTCTCCCAATAATTTCAAAACATGGAAAAACTTTTCAAGCCTTGTTTTTTCGCGCAAAATATGGATTTTTAACGAGGAAAATAAGCTTCAGGTTTGACTGCGTATTTTTACTATTTCTCTCAAATTATATTTTTCGTTTTTTGCTTTCTTTTGTATTGGAATTAAACTGAATCAAAAATAAAACATCAAAACATATATCAATCGGTTTAAGTAGATGACGAAAAGCAAAAGCATTTTCACCATCACCAAAACCGATAGTCTCCCATTCTAACCTTTTTGTTTTTGTTTTTGTTTCTGGATTGAGTCTCACTACAACGAGTGGTCTCATCCAATTAAACATTCATAAAGAAACTTCAAAAGTCACTTAATCAAACAAAACAAATAACCCAAACTACCACTTAATAACCCAAACTTCCCTAGTACTTTTTCAAGGGCAACCAGAATCACTGTGGATCATGGCAAAACATTTTTTAACCAAAAGAGATCACAAACAAGATGAAAACCAAAAGCTTACTTTATTTTTGGGAATAAAACTGAATCAAAATAAAATATCAAACCATAGAAATAGAAGTATCAACCGGTATAAGTCAACGAAGAAAGCAAAAAGCTTTTCTACCACCACTCTCTCTAAACTTTAATTGATTTCCGGATATGAATCTCACAAAATGAGTATCATCCCATGCATGAATATTCCATAAAGAAATGACAACTAAAAGCAGTTAATAAGAAAAGTTAAGAGAATAAACCCCAAACTAGAACGGACGTTGTCCTAATATCCTTTATTTCCCTGATCCTTGCAGCAGTAATCTTTGTTACTGTTGTTGCTGTTGCATTTGCAGTATTTGACGTTGCTGTTGCTGTAGCAATTTTTGACGTTGGTGTTGCTGTTGCATTAATAATTGACGTTGCTGTATCTGTTTCAGCCCTTGCCTTTGCAATTCACTTAGTTGCCCAAATCCTTGTTGCATTTGCGTTGGCCGTTGTCCTCCTTGCCCTAATTGCGATCGCAGTGGTCCTTGTTGCCCTAATCCTCTTTGCCCTAATCCCTGTTGCAGTGATCCTTGTTGCATTTGCCCTAATCCTCTTTGCCCTAATCCTCTTTGCCCTAATCCCTGTTGCAGTGATCCTTGTTGCATTTGCCCTAATCCTTGTTCCGTTTGCGTTAATATTTGTGGTTGTGGCACACTACTTTTGGCAGCTGGGCTTAGACTCAGATTCTGAAAGACTCCTATCATCTCTTCCGTCGATAATCTTACGTCGGTTCCGAATAATTGACTCAGTGTAGCCTTAATGTTTGCTAAAACTTTATCGTTCTCGACATCAAGTGTCTTTATAGCTATATATTTCAACAAACAAAGAAACGGATCGGTGATTAGTATTAAAATTAATGTGCTTCTCAAGTCATTAAGATTAAAAGGAAACTAAATCAAAATAAATTACCATGATCCAAGAATTGTGTGCTGAAAGGAAGTTCGAGATCCTTGATCCCACTCTTCTCCTCCTTGAGAGAGGTAATATATGCATGAATTTTAACATATTTATCCGCGAGTGTCTTGGTTTTCGCAATGTCTTCCATGAACAACGCCAATGGATCACTCGTCATTGGCATGGGAGCACTAATAGATTAATACATTGGAAGGGAAAAAAAAACAAAAGGTTAAGATTGAATGTTTTTTTTACAAGTTTTATATATAAACAGATGAATCAAACGTCTAGATTTGGTTGAAGTCGGAGCATTCTAGTGATGCAGATTTTATAAACAGATCTAGATTTAGGTATCTCCCAAAAGGTTGAAAAATCATAACAAAAAAAAAACAAAAGCAAAGAAGAGAGAATATACGTGTTTGGTAATGATGTTGCTGTGAAAGTATCCGATATTTACGATTATTAATCCAAATACTAACCAAGCTCAAACCCCTTCCTGATCTTGTTCCTCTCTCTCTAAAGCAAACCCTAATTTTGGTTCTGTATTGTTATTCTTTTCTTCTCTAGTACTTGTATTTTATATTTATAGTTAGGTCCTCGCTAAAAAAACGGAAAATTGCAACAAAAAAAGGATATACTTTTAGGATTAGCCTCAATAATAAAAATAGAAAATTGAAAGAAATATACATAGTGCTGTTTTCTAATGAAAAAAGCCCTCAGAGAATTTAAAATGGATCTGGTGATACTTGAGAGATTTCGTTAGGTTGTGTCATATGTATAATATAATGTTTGAAGACAACATAATCTTTGGTCAATAGGGAAAGTTATAGTCCGCTATAATATTTACTCATTTCACGACCGAACAATCATAGTCTTTGAGAGATTTGATAGTATGAGTTTTGTAAAAGCTAATAATTAATAACTTTCGAGAACTTCACCTTTATGTATGGGATCTTCAACAAAAAATATATGAATTGTGTTTTGAAAGGCTGATGGGAGTTCGGTTAACCAACCTCTGAGCATTTTATATCAGCTTAATCAACAAATCCTTGTGAACCAAGTTATTCTTATCCTAATCTGTGATGCATAACAAACCCTACTGTACTAAGAATATGCAAAAATGTACACATCGTCTTTGCTTTGTATCATTTTCACAGAAGTGAGATTCTTGTTTTTGGTACTTTTACTGTCTATCATTTAAAAAAGAAGGAAATGATTTAAACAATTAGTTTGGTCAAAACAATATCATTCTAGTTTTGCCACTATATACCAAAAGAAAAAAAAAACATCGTTTCAAAGAACTCCAAAAGAGTGCACTTGCAAGCAAATTCAGAAAACGACATGCTTACAACTCTCAAAACCGATACCTTTTAGTCTTAGTTAACCTTATCACTGAAGGCCATGGCTTTGCCGCATTTCAAGTCCTGAACCGACCTCTACTGATGGAGAACTGAAAATTTTGCCTATGTCAAAACTTTTACCAGAAAGAGGCAGTTTTTAGAAGTCATTGTTCGGTCTTGATGAAGTGGTTGGTCAGAAGTTTTGAGACTGATATGTCTTCGAATGAATCAACTTCAAATAGCTCTTTCAGCTTCTCGTCGCACAAGACTCTCCGTTTGTCAGCAGGATCCTAAGTTATAAAGAAAGTTGTAAATAAGCAATAAGTTTTTATCAAAAAACATAAAGCGAGAAAACCAGTGCAGAGAGCAAATGACACACACCTGAAGATCATTCTGTTTTATGTACTCCCACAATCTCTTTACCACATCTGCCCTCGACAAAGAGCTTTCTCCATTACCCAAGAACTTGACAAGAGCATCTGAAAGTGGAACGGGAGCAAGAAGACCACAACCTTCCTTCTTCTGCTCTTTGTCTTCCTCGTTTGGCTCGTCACTCTCTGTGTCTGACCGAATGTATAATGCTCTGTTTATAATACCTTGATGATAAAAGGCACTAATTGAAATTCATCTAGCTTTCTTACCTCCGTCTGTTTCCATTTTTTGCTTTCCATTTTTTGGAGAGCTAGAGCCAACTGATTCCCCTAGGACCAGAGATAAACAACAATTAGCAAACGCTTAAAAAGCCTAGACCGGGAAGGGATGGTTCCAACAGAATGTAAGAACAGTTCAGTCATCAAGTACCTGCATTATCCTCTAAAGGCCATATGTGCTTGCTTAACTGTTTACTCATTTGAAACATATTGATGGAGTCAACAGCGAACAGAGATCGCAATGACTCGTCGCATATTATTGTTCGTCTATCATCCGGATCTTGCAAATTGTTCTCCTTTATGTACCTCCAGAGCATTTTCACAACCTGAAACCATTCACCAGACAACATGGGGGAATTGGTTAAGAAACTTAGATTAAGTACCTCTGCATATTTAGGCTCAGAGCTTGAGTTAGCTGATTGATTCACTCGAGTGAGCCATGTACCTCTGTCCTGGCTAATTCTACCACACCAGCAAAAGCCTGAAGCTTTGGCGAGAGGCTGCAAACTTTGGTAAAGCCGCCTCCTCCTCCTTTTCTCTTGGGCTTCTCCACCGACTTGGCTGGCCTATTTGATAGAGGAAACTTAGTTTCTGGGGGTATGGTCAAGGTTGGGGATAACTAACTAGCTGGATAATACAAGAACTGAGATAAATTGTGACAACTAACTTCTTCCTCTTGCGTTTCCGCAAACTCCTAACTTCCCCTCCACTTCCTTCTTCATCATCCTCTTCCACTTGTTCGTTTTTCTCCCTTTCCCCTGATCCATCACCTTCATCCTCATCTTCTTCTTCTTCTTCTTCTTCTTCCTCTTCTTTCACACTGTTTACACGCCCTGACAAAAAGAAATCTTTTCATCGCACTTGGTCTCCAACCCGAAATAGTCAGGAAATATACAAATACTTACAAAATAAAGCTTATGTTCATTGAAGAGGACTCTTGCAAAAACATATAACAATCATAAAGTCCAACAAGAGGCTAGGAAACACATAGAGAAACCAATTTATTTAACCAAACAGTTGATTAACACATTTCCGAGCAATTAGACATGATTCATCTCTAGAGCCGAGTACTAGTTTTCTCTACAATCAAGCTATTTAGGTATTTAGGAACAATGTCTGACTGAACAGGAAGACTATGGAGATACATATATATCATACGCTCTAATGTGACTGTACCAGAAGCTTCACCAGTCCATGAAGAAGTTAGCAAGACATTCAAAAGAGAGCTCTATGATTATCACAAACACACACTAGGCTATCGAATTTCACTAAATTCTATAAAATTCTGAGTGTAGTATTAAGATAAGGAAAGTACCATCTCCATCACCTAAGGGCCAAATATGCTTCGCCAATGCCTTGTTCATCTGAAACATATTAATGCTCTTTACACGGAACAGCAAATGCAGCGACTCGTCACACAATATCTTCCTTCTATCCTTTGGGTCTTGCAAATCTTTCTCTCGTATATAGGCCCACATTTTCTTCACAACCTTATATTATATATACCGCATTACACAACCAAACAAAATCAACTCCAGAGCATATCTGAACCACGCTTGGCGAAGAAGATGATAAAAAAACTTACCTCAGTTCGAGCTAACTGAGATTCTCCAAGAAACTTCTCAAGTTGTGGAGAAAGCTGACATACTTTGGTAAATCCACCAGCTCGTTTCTTGGCCTTTACTGGCCTAACCACATAGTACACAAACATCAACACAAAGTTAATCTCTTTTAGTTAACAACTAAAATCACAGAAAACCCCTTGAAACTCAATTCTAATCGGACATTGAAATCAGTTTAGCCTATTTCTATTCAACAAGTGGTCGTTAACTAGGAATTTGTCGGAAACATTTCGATTGGTTCGGATAAATATGATTTTTGATTCATTCACAGAGAAAGTCCAATTTTAAAAAAACCACGATCAGTACAAGAGAAATTACCGTTCTTCCTTCTCTTCATTGCTTTCACTCCCATCTCCGTCGTCTTCTTCCTCCACGTCGCCTCCTTCAGCTTCCGCCTTGGGTTGAGTCATTTCATCGGCATTAATGTCTTCTTCTTCTGCCTTAGGGCTTTCTACTCCGCCATTGCTCTGGAGAAAAGCATCGATTTGATCCGTGATGAACCGTTTCTTATCCGTCAAGTCGACATCGAAATCCGCCGCCAGCTGACGACGGACGCTCGCCGGAGTCGCCGTTTGTAGGTCGGAGCTACGGAGAATTTCTCGGAGTCGGGTCACGAGGTCCAAGTCGGAAACCATTTTTTCCGTTACTGAAGAAACCAAATAGATTTTTCCTTAGAAAAAAAAAAAAACAAATGCAAAGCGGCTGACGAAAGGGAAATCGATTCTTGAGGTGGAACTGTAAACCAAATCAAAGGGTATTTATGGAATTCGATACAATGCTTGTAACGCCGTCGTTTTGATGCTTCATTTTATTTTTCTTCCTTTCTCGCTCTCTCTTGGTAATTAGTGCGACTACGATCATATAGTTACATTATAATTATGGCATACATATTAACACGTTTTTATGGTAATCTAGTTATGTAAAATGATTGTTTTGGGAAAACTTGTAGATGGTTTCATCATCTAAAAGAGAAGTACCGTACAAGTAAAGAGATTTCTTTTTAAAAAATGTGGTTTACGATAAGAAACTCAAGCTCTTATCCCGTGAAGTCATATCTGTCCCGAAAGAAAGAGTGAACCACATATGAATATTATCATGAGACTTGTAAAAAGGTTACGACTATTATATTAGAAAGAGAATACAACTTTTTTTTAATACAAGAGCTTATAATAAAGTAAACACAAGACCCTTATGTGAGAGAGTTGAGACTTCTTTGCCAACACAAAATTAAGAAGAAAAAAGAGAGAAGATAAGTAAACAACTCTATATATGGCCTAAGAGATTGTGATAAAAACTATAAACTCAAGAAAGCTCATCATTACCTAACCACATTCCTCATTGTCATGTTTTTTCCAAGCTTTTCCTTTCAAGATAATTCTCAGGGATACCAAGAGTGGCCAACTGTGTATATTGGCACGTAAAAGAACACCAGCCCGCACAAGAATGAATAAATTTGAGAAATCAAGCATGTCCATGTGTACGAGGGTCGACTAGGCTAAGTTCACCAGTGGAATTTTCAGATGGACTTCCATGGAGATTGACGCTCATCAAGCAAACTCTAAAGCAGACATGAGAACAAGAAACTGCTGTGCTTGTGCGGCTTTCTCCACATGCTTTCTTGCGAATCTGCTATCGCTGAATAACCGCCTCCATTGCTTGCAAGTATATTGTAAGCGATTCAGATATGGCCGGAACAAGACAGAGTATCTCCTCTACCAAATCCTCTGAAGGTCCAACATCGTGATCCTGATCTCTTTCAGGAAGAAGAAAGTGCCTGTATGTTTAGGTTTTCCTTTATCACTTTAATATACAGTAACTCTTTCCTTTTTTTCCCTTCAAAATAGTCTTTTAATCAATTACTCTTATCCTTTTCCTATTTGGTTTCGATATTCTAATTTATTCTTTCATTTGGTTAATGCATTATGTGTTTGGGATGAGAGAAATGCTGTGGAAACCCTTAATTATGATTTACAAAATCAAGTATAACAATTACATTAGAAACATTCATGGATCTACACAGACTGATTGTTTCTTTCCTCATATAAACAAATCGTTCCTTCACCTGTCTAAAGAAGTGAAAAAAGGAGCCTGAGACATCTTTCTTGGACTCTGGCTCCATGATCTTCGAGGTGAGGTCATTGAAGGTATCGTCCTTTCAGGATTTCTACTTCTTCTGCTCTTTGTTTTTCCCTGCATTAAAATTTTCACAAACCTCTCTTATAAATTTTATCTGCTCGAAGCTACTGGATTTGAAACTTCACATCGAACTATATCTTACCTTTAATCTAATGTGGTGTAGTTCACGTTCAAGTGAACCAACTTTTGTCTTGAGCTGTTCAAGTGCCTCTTCAGCAACTTCAGGGTTTATGTCTGTGATATCTTCTCCTGTTACACCTGCTGCCTAAGGGAAATTCAAGTCCACACAAAGGTGTTTTAAAACGTATTATGTTAACAACCTTCTTTGGAGTTTCAGATCATCGGAACTGCAAAGCTTATTACAGTGGAAAATGAATGATGTTCTCTTACCTTTAAGATACTGGTGGAGAGACGTAACAGCTTCTTACCCAGCTGCATTCTATCCTCTTCGGTTTCCTTCAGTTTGGTACTCAAATGATGCATCTTGTCAAAGTTTGAATGTTGGTTCTTTCCTGAAGATGCTCGGTACCAGGCAAGCTCTTCTTTGGCACGAGATATGTTCACATCCGCTCGTCGTAACTTCAGATTGAGCTCATCAAGCTGAAGTTTCAACACATTGTTTTCTTCCTGTTGGATATGACGAGAGAGAAAAGGGTAATCAGTACGAAATAAGTGATTAAAGAAAATACAGAAAGTGTATGAAAGTTTGAGATTTCTTCTTGCCTTGATTCTACCATGATCACGAGTTCTCCACTCGGGGTTTTGCTGGGACGATAGCTTCTTCACTTCTCCTTCAAGTTCCATTACTTTTCTTTTATGACTTACATTCTCCTTCTGTTGAAAGTCAGAACATTTAGATAATTCCAGTGACCACTAATTATAATCTAAAGTTGGAAAGGCCAAGGTTCCTAATTTTCCAACCTTCAGGAATTCGTTTTCTTTCTTGAGCAGTTGCTCATGCTGCCTATGTTCTTCGAGTTCTATCTGCGCAGTAACTAAATCAGTCTGCTTTCCTTCGATCTCCTCTATCCACCTGCATCAATATTATTGTAATAAAAACTATGATAAATCATCTGCAAGTGGCCAAAAATCCATCTTCCTCTATCGAAATCTTGACAGAGTTGCTTACCCTTGCCTTTCCTCATTATATACATTGAGTTGCCGCTTGAGCTGAGAGACTTCAAAATCCTATATACAGAAAATTTCAGACATGAGATTTTTGCTTTTATAGCATGACTAACTCATTACTCATTCCTCCTAGAGTTCAATCCAAAGAATAATACCATTTCTCGTGAATCTGAACTATTCAGTTGAAGCATCTCTGCTATCATCAGTACTTGCTGACTATCCATTAATGACTGTTAAAAAAGAAAAGAAAGCGGAAGAAGAAAAAGGGTCATTCACTTTTAATATACTCCAGTTAACTTTTACCACTTTTCCACAGTAAAAGAACAACAAGGAAATGACTAATATAGAACATGAGCAAAGAAAAGTTTGTTAAATAAAATTACTTACTGTACAATTCTGTTTGAGTCCCAGCATAACTCGATTAAGATCATGGGTCATGCTATCCACCTTGGCCAGTTTTGAATTCAATAGAAATATCTAGGAGCAGAAACTCGATTGAGATTAAAAATGAATACCACATGGCTGCCAAAACATATAGATAACGTTTTCAGCTAGTTACCTCTTTCTGCCGGGTTGCAACTACAGCTTCAAGCTCCTCGATTCGTAGCCTTGCAGCAGAAAGCTCCTCATCCTTCTCAGATCTCATTTGTTGTGCGATTCCCAACCCTATGCACCTGAAAGGAGAGCCAGAACCCCGAGGCTTCCCCGAACCTTTACTCAATGAAGATTCCATAGCTTGAGAAACATGAATTTCTGGCTTTACTTGCTCAGCCATTGCCTCCAGCTCCTTGAACTGTTTGGAATGGATCAGTTTAAGTGATGCCAGTCTCTTGGGAAAACAATTGAAGTTAGTCAATCTATTAGGAACCAATATCTTTACCTTTTGCATGTATTCTCTAGCCTGAGCCTCTGCATGCAAATTTAATTCCGAGATATGCGCGCTGAGTTGAGAAATCTGTTGCAGAGTAAACTTACTACATATATCATCAGAAATTTCGAGACAAACTTAAGAATCCATCAATGTTCAAATAACATTTACCTCGGTCTTTTGGTCAGCCGTACTTCTCTTAAGCGCTTCCATATGCTTCTGAGCTACCTCAAGATCCATATTCTTTTCATCTAAGATTCTTTGACCACACAAAATAAGAAATGAGTTGCTTAAATCATACACCTATCTAGGTTTCTTTAACCATATACCTATTTAGGTTGCTTAAATTTTTCTAACCTTTTAATTTCCCCATCAGAATTTCTAGTACTTTCCATCTGCTGGCGTATGGTATGAAGCTCCATCTCCAGCTCCTCCCTTTGCAGGCGCTGTCTTTCAGCTTCACCTTTTATAACGTTAACCTATTGAAATATGCCTCCATCAGATAATTATACACAATTACTGAATTAAGCTGTTACATAGTAAATAATGATTAATTCTAACCTTATTTTCAAGTACATTGATGGTATACTCAAGCTTCTCAACTGATCCCTCTAATAGCTTCACTTCTTCTTCTCTCTGATCGGCATACATCTTTCTTGATTCAGCAATCTGTGAGAAGAGTGGAAACGAACATTGAGAAATGGACCTAAAATGTTTGGCAGTAAAGCTTAAGTATAACTGTGTTGTTGTCTACCTCTTGAGCTTCTATGTACCTAACTTCAATGTCTCTAGCCTCAGCTTTCATCTTCCCCAATTCTTCTTTCAGATACAAAGCCTCATCTTGGAGATTATCCCTGTCATCGATGGTTTCATTTAATTTGCTCTGGGTAAACTCAACTGTATCATTCAATTGTCCGAGAGCATTTCTCAGATTAAGGAGCTCCATCTCCATGCTCTCCGATACCTTTTTTGTCTGGATCAGCTCCTCCTCTAGAGAGTGTTTTTCTGCCAAGAGATCTTCAGCTTCTGCTTTAATTTCTTCATTTTCTGCTGTCAACTTTTTTTGGCACTGCCTTACCTTTTCAGTCTCCGCTTCAAGGTTGCAGATCATTTCTTTGCTGTCTTGCAGCCGAACTTCAACATCTTCTAGTTCAAAGGTTTTCAAAGCTAGAGTCTTTTCTAAAGCTTCAACATGAACCATGATTTCCTTTGTTTCATCTTTCTTGTCTCTGGAATTGGAAGCAGATTCTTGTAGTAGGCTGAGGTCAAAAGACAACCCATTTAGAACATCATCCTTTCTCAAAAGCTCATCCTGGAGCTTCAGATTCTCAGACAGCAAGTCTTGTACATCAATCTCCAAAGATTGAACAGTATCTGCGAACTTCGAAGCCTTCTTGGCGTTCTCACAAATCAGTTCGAAAACTTTATCAGAGATAACCAGACCATCCCTGGTTAGTTGTATGCAGTTGGCAATGCTTACGCTCGTGACATCTAATGCTTTAGATTGATCTTCACCAAAATGTATAAACTTGTGCTTAAGGGAGATGTTTTCATTCTTCAACGCACTGACAGCGTTAGCATAAACTTGCATATCCCTTTCTTTGATATCCAATTCTTCTGCGGCGACTGACTGGGAATGTTCGAGACTGTAAAGTTCAGAAGCTTTCATTGCCAAATCTTGCTGTAGGGCAGCAACGCAAGACTCCAAGAAGCAGACTCTTTCTCCAGAAACCTTGTTTACTTCATCCATTTCGGCGATTGTTTGCACATTGTGATTAAGATCCGATGAGAGAACCTTGATTTTTCTTTGTGCTTCAGTCAGATTTTGTTTCATCGAAACGGTCTCCAGGTTGTTATCAACCAGACAGACGTCTTTGAGCTCACTCTCCACCTGGGAAACAAACAATTTCTCTTTAAGATCCTCAACGATGGCATGATGATCAAGAAGCTCTCTATCCACATCTGCGAGACAAGAAGAATATTCTTCTACTTTTAGCGCCAGAACAAACGACTCCACATCCTTCGACAAGACATCCACTAAATAAAGCTGAACTTCAGTTTCAAAGAATTCATCCTTCTGACTCAGATGCAGCTCTTGCTCCAACAGAGTTTCTGCAAGGTGCACGTTGCTCGAATCTATTTCTTTCATCAAAATATCGAGCTGAGACCCAATGCTGTCAGATCTTTGCAACATCAGCTCCTCCTGGTACTGTAACCCTGAAATTTTCTGCTCAAAATCGCTTAATTTGGTAGTAAGCAGATTACCTGCTTCTTCATTTCTTGAAATCCTCTCAAAACCATTCTTTAGATCAGCTAATAGTTTACCCTTAAGAGTTGTAAACATTTCAAGTTCACTTCTTAACCTTAGATTGTTCTCTCTTAGTCCGGCTATGGAAGAGTTTGATTTACGCAGACCACGTTGAAGCAGACTATTTTCGTTATTGATCCCTGTAACAGTTTCTAACAAAATCCCCGTATGGCAAAGGTGTAGAACTGAGAGAGCACAATCCTTCATGATTATTTCTGACCAGATATCCTCAAGGAACAATCTAACTGACTTCGTTTCTGACACCCAGGACTTTAACTCAGATAAATCATTGCTCATGCCAGTCAAGGCCTCGGATGATTCATCTTGTAGTTTTCTGACAACAGTTTCCAGCTCGTCGACAAGATTTCCTATTCCCATCAAACTTGACTCGAATAGCTTCTCAAGGTTCTCAAACTTCTCATTTTCTTTGACATTTATGGATTCCAGCTCCTGCAGCTTGTCAACTAAGGCGTTTCTCTCTCCAACCAAACTGATTTCCCGTTTCTTCTGTTTTTCCAGATCAATTTTCATTTTTTCATTCGCTAGTATTAGCCCAGTGATTGTGATATCTGCTTCTTTAATAAGCCCTTGAGCCTCCTCAAATTTCTTAAGAACACACAAGTTTTCTACATATTCCTGGTCAGCCTCAATCTTCATCTTAGCTAATTCATGCTCCAAAGTCTGTAAAATAGCTTAAGAGTTTCAGAAGAAAAAAGAGAGAAAACTGAAAGCATCCGAGAGAAAATGTAAATAGGTGAAAGTATTAGTGTACAGTGCCATGCTGTATGTCTAAGAGTGAGGAAAAGAAAAACTGAAACCACGGAAGGATAAACAGTTACTTGCCTTAAGTTTCTGATCTGTGCCTTCCATCTTGTGCTCATATTGTTCTTCCATGTTATTCATCACAGTTTCAAGGTTGCGAAACTGTGCAGCAAGATCGTTCAAGTTGCTTAAGCTTCTTTCCTCAGACGCCTTTAGTTCTTCCTTCTCATCCTGGAGTTTGGACATCTCAAATTGAACCTCCTTTAAGCTTACAAGAGCGCATTCCAGCTCTTTCTTTAGCAGTATAATCACTTCACCTCTGCTAACTCTGACGGACTCCGTATGATTGTTGTTTGGAGTCTTCTCTATGCAAGAGGAGACAAATACATTCCTTCCAGGTTCCTGTACGAAAGAAGTTCCAGTAAAGGGCCAAGCACACTACTATACATGATAAGGCATGACCGTCAAAAGAAGAAAACTGCAAGCAGCTCACCTGTCCTTCACTACAGTGGGATGGAGAGCGTAGTGAATTCTCTGCCTCAGTGTATTTATCATGCTCCTGACACATGTTTATGCAAGATCTGAGTCCAGATACGCCACCCTTAAGCTCAGAAAGCTTCTCTTTCATGGCCGAAATACCAGTCTCCTCAATTTCTTCAAGCTTTCGTTCCATAGCAGAAACATTCTTTTCTTCTTCTAGAAGTTTACTTCTAAATTCCTCACAGGTTGCTTCCAAATCTTGTACTTGTTGCTTCAGAGAAAGAATTGTTCCAGAAGATTCCTCAATCCGGAGATCCTTTTGCTTCAACTTAAAAGTATGGGATTCGGTTACCTCAGAATATCGGTTGACAATTACTAAAGAAGCTGTTGCACAATGTGATGCTTCATAAATCCAACTTTCAGCCATCTTCAGCTTCTCTTGAAGCCTTGATATGACCTCTGTTTTTGAACGCAAGTGTGATCTCAAGAGCTGAACTTGTGTCTCCTTTTCCTCGTACTCTCTCTGGTGCGCTTCACTCATTACTAGTGCTGCCCCTCTTAGAGACTTCAACATGGATTCTATATCACATCGCTTTTTATTCGCATCCTCTAAACAGTTTTCAAGATCTTCAATCATCAATTCCCTCTCAGAAATTGTTCTTATTAACTCTCCAACCTGTTCAGATATCCATATCCTTTTATCTGGAAAGGAACCCGAAAGTAGATCAGCCTGGTAACATGCATCTGTAAGGTCTTCATTCCCATTCAGCAGAATTTCTTCAAGCTCAGATGTTAGAAGTTCCATTTCATTTGATATGATCTGTAGTTCCACTTCTTTGCCTCTGAGCTTTTCTTGCAGTTGCTCATTATCCATGGTCACATCTCGTAGGTTATCCTGCAGCTCCTCCATCCGAGTTTCCAAAAGCTTTACCTGATTTTCAGTCATCTTTTCTTTTGATTGGAAATCATTGACCTCCTCCTGGAGTACTTCGAGCTCATTCTGCAAACAGACAATCACCTCGGCAGTTGCAGCTTCAGCTTGCCTATGAACTTCACCCATTTCCTCATCTCCACATGCCTTAGAAGCAATATCACTCTTGAACAACATGTTCAACCTCTTAGCTTTTTCAAGAGATGCTTGCATCTTCTTGAACTTCGTGTCAACTGCATTGTCCTCTGCAGGATTATCTTTGAACTCATCGCACTGTTTGGACTTCATTGCTGGGATGTCAAGCTCTTGCTTTTGTAAAAGCTCAATATAATTCTCCTTTATTCTCCTCAACTCTACTGCTTCTTGGATAAGTATAATGTTTTGGGATTCGAGAGCTTCAACTACAGACTTCGTCTCCCCCATCTCACTGTTTACGTTTTCTTGCTGCTTGCTCAACGTCAGTAGTTGGTCCGTCAACTCTTCAATATCACGTTTCAAGCGAACCGCCTGTGCCTCCGTATCACCACGTAGTGTTCTTTCCTCATCGAGTATAATTTTCAGGACATCCAAATCAAGCTGCAGTTTGATGATTTCTTCTACATGGTTGACCTGCTGACCAGCAAGTGTTTCGTGCTGCTGAACATTTTGAGTTCCCAACAGTGCCTGCAATTTTTTTGTCAATATTCAATTGTTAAGTGAAAACGCTCAAGGGTAACGTGCGGAAATAGTGGTTGTGCAGATTAGTAAACCACATTGTTCTTATTGTGCAGACCTTGTTTTCGATCGCAATGCTATGATCATTCGGTTTGGAAGCCCTGATATCGCTGGCCATAGCCTGTAGATCATGGATTTCTCTGCAGAATATGGGCGAGTAGACTTATAACGGCTATAGAGAAAATGATAACTACTTTGGCCATATACAAGGAAACAAACAAGAATCATCAATCAGATTGGCTAACCTACTAAGCTTTGCATTCTCTTCCAGGCAAGAATCAAGGTTACTTCTGCATTTGTCAAGCTCGTCACAGGTCTTTTGTAACTGCTGTGGAAAACACATTTAGAAACTGAGATTGAAAAGATCAATTAGAAAGAAAACAGGAAACTGAACCAACCTCCTCCTGTAGAGAGTCATTTTCTTTGCTAATCCGTAATGCACCCTGCGCCATGGAGAACCCAAAATCCTTTTAGAACCAAATAAAAATACAACAAGACTAACGACACGCACAATGAAGCACATTCCTTCTTGATATTAAGAGATACTATAAGATATGTAAAGAGAAAAATAGATGTTACCTGTGGCTCTGTTCCCTCATCAATATGTTTTTGCCAGTCGGAGCTTTCATCAAGAAATTGAAAGATCTGCAAAATCAATCAATACGATAGGGTTTAGTATGGAATTGCAGACAAGAATGAATTAATACCGTGATACAGTGCTAACTAGAGGCACCTGGTTTCGCAGATTCGAAACTTCCCCCAGTAGAATTTCTCTCTCACCTTCCTCATAGAACTCTTGAAATCTGCAAGTACCATAAAACAGAACTTAATAAATCACACACACACACACACATTTTCTCTTATTTCAGCTTTAGACGTTTCCTGAAGATGTATCACCTTCTAAGTTGGTCCAGAAGCCTGATGTTTTCCAGGGCAAAGCGAGTCAATTCAGGATTTTTATCAATTTTAGCTTGAAGCAGCTGAATCTCTTCTGATAACACGTTATTCTCTTCCAGCAAAAAAGAATCTGCAGATATATGATTGCCGAGAAGTGATTCTAGCCTCTGTATCTTGTCTTCTCGAAACCTGAGCATCATTTTTGTGCTCCTGGTATCTTCCTCTCTTTGTCGAACCTAGTGATAAATTGGCATAAATTTAGGCAGGCTCTGAAACATAAGTGGGAATGGGAGCAGTGTAGGTGAAAAATAATTACCAAGCGGTTTAGTTGCTCAATCTCAGCTTCAAGCTTCTTAATTGAAGCATCAGCCACATGCTCTCTTCTCAATGAGCCAGCAAGTGTTATTTCCAAAGATTTCAACTGATATACATACAGTATAGATTTTAGTGGAATCACGAGGCAGAGGCATATGAATCCTCAGTAAAGCCATAACCATTCACTGTTCCTAAAGTTCGCATACCTGCTTTCTAGACATCCTTACAGAGCCTCTAGATTCATACACAAGCGAGTTACCAGCCTGCTGATGTCCTGTCTCGTGCATTTCGCTTGCTGGAGAATTGACTTGGAATTCTGAAAAGCTGGCTGTTGCTGATCCAAATGACAATGCCCTCGAGGTGTTCTGGCGCTTGAGGAGGGAAAGCTCTTCCTGCACACACGCACAAAAATTGTCTTAGCTTATTTACATTTTCACATAAAGGGCACCTAGTAGCGTTCCAAAATGTTACACCTTTAAAAGTCGGATTTGACGGCGTAGTTCCAAGACATCCCCGTTGAAATCTTCGTTGACCACAGCCTAAAGAATTCGAAAATGATTACTTTTTCAACGGTTATTTCATCATTAATCTCCCTCATAAATTACAATATGGGTAACAGTGGCAAACTTACATTATTCTGGATTAGCTTTGCTCTCTGAGCAAATTTAAGAGTGTTTAGCGTCTCTGCTGCACAACTGCAAGTGATAATACATGGAAACGATAAGTTATAGTTCTTTACTGAATGTACGAGTTTATGTAACACTAGATCAAGTTAATGTTCACCTGACGGATGGACTAGCATTAGCAATGATCATTGTTTTGGAATTGCCACCCAATGAGTCCTATTAGATGAAACTACCGTTATAATGCCATGAAAGGCTAGACTGCAACTTAAGCGAAGAAAGGCAATGAATTCAGATTTAACCTGAAGAAGAAATGTCAGCCTGGAATCACGATATGGGATATGCCTTGGTTTACCATTTGCAACATCCACAAGAACCATAATGACATGTCTGCAATCAATAACAACGTATAGCAAAATTTAACATAACAACAAATTAAGAAACTGAGTCATGCCAAGGATTTAACTATTCCTTGCTTACCCTAGTGTGGACAATGATTTATTGATATTAGCAGCTTCTTTTAGGCGGTCACCCTCAGCGCCAGAAGTTTTCTGCCTGTTACATAATGTAGAATGTAAGACGAGGTATCTAAGGCAATACCAAGCTAATGCACCATAGTTACCTCTCTGATCCAGCGAGATCAACCAGGTTCAGTCTTGCAAAACGCATATTAGTTGTTGAGTCTTTTTCCCACCTGCTCTCGATCACGCATGTAAATACACTATGTGATCGGCTGCTCTCTCTGTTCATATTTGTGGCTCCAACTTTTCGATTCAAAGAACCCTATTGTACCACAGATAAGACTATTAGAAACAATTAACATTAAACAAACAAAAAGTGCTTGGAAGACGGCAATACTAACCTGTGTGATAAGCCCTAAGATGTCTTGAACACTCTCTACTTCAAACTCAGTGAGATTTTCCACATAGACACCGCTCTTAATGTCCTCTCGAAGCTAAAGAAGTGAGAAACATGTCAGAATTATGAGCCTTGCACATATATGCACTTTGACCAGCAAAAGAATTTAGTATAACCTGCAAATTTGTTGAAGACGGTTCAAGAAGGTCTGTGATCTGCTCATTGTAAATCTCCAGAAAGGAGCATTTGCAATTGTATTTAAGTCTCTCGTCTCTTCTGCTCTCTTCCTCCTGCAACAAGAACAATGAGGGAAGATGCGATTAGCAAAAGTTAATGATGTCTGTAGTAGAAATGAAAAAAAAAAAAAGCAATATCACAAGAGAATGTACAGCTTGTATCCTTGCAAATAAAAATTCAAATATCCGTGGCATCATTCCTCTGTTGGGACTTGGTTTAACTTCTAAATCACCGACTTCCCCGAGCATTGTATATGTTTTTCCACTTCCTGTCTGCACAATCCAACAAATTATTTTACAAGTTAGGAAATGAATGCAAATTCCAAAGAAGGAAACTGTCTCACTTAGCTATCTCATCTCATTGTATAACCGTGTAAGCATTTTCAAATGAAACCACCTCACATAATGGTAGAAGAAAAATCTACCTGGCCATACGCAAATATACAGCTGTTGTAGCCAGACAAGCAATTTTCCACCATGGGCAGACCAGCAACCCGAAAAAGGGTGTCCTACAGATACAGAGGATGCGAAAAAAAAACATGACTTCGACGAAGAAAAGGAAACCAAAGTTTTCAGCTTTCGATCTGAGTCTTGCTTACCTGGTCAATTGTCTCACAAGCCACATGGTCGAACTGAAACCGTGTTTCTGGTTGTCCAGTCCATGCTACGCATTGCGAGCTTTCCTGCTTTAAGCACCTACTGTACCCATTTATACTCTTTTCCATGCTATTGAGCGGTCGAACACGTATAAGAATCTGAGATACCATCAAATGATCCAATGCATTAATTCAAGAAATTCAAAATCGACATTCTTGTTACAAGTAGCAAACTGGTGCATTGGAAGAGTAAAGCCATAGGAACAAATCGGCTACCTGTACGTTGTGATCCATCCAGAACGATGGATCCTCCTTAAGGTTAAAGTGAGGGACTTCAACGGTATTGACAGGAGCTGAGACTTGCCCAGAAGAGCTAGACAACCCTTTGTACAAGGAGGCATAGCCACCAGCTTTAAGAGCTCCTCCGCCATCGAGCTTCCCTCTGTAACAAGATCCCGGCGGCTTAGATACGCTCTTAGTAGGCGTGTTCTGCGTCGAATTGGTCTCCGAATAGGCTCTCCCGGCGGCTCTACCGGTTTTAGGAGTTGCCACATTCGGATTCGTGACGGAATCGCACTTATCCCCCCAGCCAAACCGATTCTTAGAGAATGCCGCCGATCGGTGCTTATCGGGAGTGCGTAAGGGCAATGCTGGATCTGGGTTCTTGGCTCTAGGCTTAGACGGAGTTCGATCGATCTTACTCCGGGGCTCCTTTTCGTGTTTGGTGTTGTTCAGCGGATCCTGGATCGTGTTTAGCGGAGCCCGTGATAGAGAAGAGGAAGAAGATGAATCGTTGCTGGTTTGGGATAAAAACGAAGCTTGGAGGTTTTCAGGTACGTTCTCGATTTCATCGTGCTTGCCGGAATCTCTACGGGAAAACTTGACATCCCTCGACATTAAAATATCTAATTCGATACAAGAGTAGATAATCAGAATTCACACACCGAGAAATGACAAATTTAGAAACTTGGAATCACAGCTCAAGCTATACAAAAAAAGGAATTTTTTTCCTCACCTGTGTGATGAATTGAGCAGCAAAATCCAAATCGAGCTATTGAAGAGTTCTAATATAATCTCTCTCTCTCTCTCTCTCTCTCTTACTCACTCACTCACTCACACTCTCTCTTTCTCTCTCTTAAGTTCGCATGATTTTAGCAGAAAAGCAGGACGGAGAAAGGGATGCGAAAGAAGAAGAAGATGAAACGGACGGCTGAGATTGCATCCTATGTTTTGCGCTTTGAGGCGGAGTTTGAATTTGAATTTGGGTAGGGCTTTCTCGCGTAATAAATTAAGCTTATAGAGGGTAGTCTCGTAAATAAGTGTCGAGTTTTCTATTTCAAAAATATTAAGCTACTCGAAAAAGGGAAGTGGGAGGGCTCAAACGCAATACCGATACGGCCCATTCAATTCAAATATTGCGTTTGTTAATAAATAAAAAAATATTTCCCCAACGGCTTACTAAATTGGTTTAGGTTTATTGTTAGGTTCAATTGTTGGATAGGGTTTGGTTTGGATCGGTTAACTATGCTTTGTCAAAGACTCCACAACCACAAGCGTCAGTGTAACAAGTTTGGAAATTTCAAAATCGTTTCACTCTTAAAACTTTTTTCAAAGAAGAAATGAATCATAAAAAAGTAAGAGGTTCTTTCAAGTACCAAAAAGTATTTATTCAAAACAACCTTGACTTGAATAAGAGAAAAACAAGAAAGAAAAAAACTAACAAGAGCTGCAAGAAATCACTTGCTTATTATCTTGGGCTAAATTTTCAAGACTTCTCGATCCAATGTTCTCTACGACGGGTTTGCAACAACAACAAAAAAAGTTTTAGGCTAAAAATTATTTATATGGTCCTAATTCCTAAAGTTTGATCACTACCTTTTGTTTTTTAGATAGCATGTTTGCATTTGAAATGTATTGTATTATAAATATATTTTTTCTCTATGACGGGTTTGCAACAACAACAAAAAAAGTTTCATGGCCAAAAATTATTTATATGGTCCTAATTCTTAAAGTTTGATCACTGTCTTTTGTTTTTTAGATAGCATATTTGCATTGGAAATGTATTGTATTATAAATATATTTTTCTCTACGACGGATTTGCAACAACAACAAAAAAAAGTTTCATGGCCAAAAATTATTTATATGGTCCTAATTCCTAAAGTTTGATCACTACCTTTTGTTTTTTAGATAGCATGTTTGCATTTGAAATGTATTGTATTATAAATATATTTTTCTCTATGACGGGTTTGCAACAATAACAAAAAAAGTTTCATGGCCAAAAATTATTTATATGGTCCTAATTCTTAAAGTTTGATCACTGTCTTTTGTTTTTTAAGTAGCATATTTGCATTTGAAATGTATTGTATTATAAATATATTTTTCTCTACGACAGGTTTGCAACAACAACAAAAAAAAGTTTCATGGCCAAAAATTATTTATATGGTCCTAATTCCTAAAGTTTGATCACTCTCTTTTGTTTTTTAGGTAACATGTTTGCATTTAAAATGTATTGTATTATAAATATATAGATATTAGTCAAATTGGTTTGAAGTGGAACAGAACAAAAGCTAAAAACATACATACATGATCGTCATCAGTTTTTATTTTATGATCGTCATTAGTTTAAATTTTTATAAGAGCTCTTTTTATATATATTTACGGGAAATAAGTGGATAAGATCGGGGAACAGCAGAATAATCAAAAAAGGAAGATATGTGGTCGTTAAAAGTCGTCATGCATCACAAGATTTTCTTACGTTTCCGTAATCCAAATTATGTATGGTATATATTAGACTTTTTCTGCATGCAATATTATAACACGCATTCTAATCTCTAGTATCAAGTTGCTAAACAAACATTAATGTAAGGTCAAGGTTCTGCCTGCGTCGCTTCATCGCTTGTGCGTGTCTTTCAATAAAACATTTCATGCACTTATTTTTGACTTAGTTGGCTAAATAGCTATGAGTTTTTTATTCTGGTTTCAATAAGTGAGTTTCCACGATTCCTTATTTAGTCATGATGAGATTCTATTATTTCTATATATTGTCTATTGGTTACTTTTATAAAATTTCTTAGGTACTAGAATTTAAAAATCACCACTCGCTACAGTACTACACCCAAAATTATAGGTTTGATTGATCTTGAAATATAAAGTAGGAGGGACTTCAACAACTACGATCGAAGAAGACACGTGGCATATGTCTCATGGGCTCTTAGAACATATGGTTAGCTAATTTTGGTGCTTTGTTTAATTAAGGCTTGAATCTGAAAGTTTTAAGAAGTAATAGTTTAGATGCTCCTTGCAAGTCGCAAGTATCGCAACAATCTTTACTAATTAATTTCTCACTTATGCATTTCTGGTTTGGTGCTACGTCCCATCGACTAGTCTATTAATTTTATTTGAATCCCACAAAGTTAGTCGAATTACATAATCTCTCCTATCATTGATTTATAATTTAAAACCTTATAATTCTTTTTTTTTTTCGTTTCACCTTCCTCTTCTTTTTTTATTGGGAAATTGGCTCCAATAACCATAAAAAGAGTTAAAATTCAGAAAATAACCATAACAATTGAGGTGCTATAGTATTCATTGTATTTTTTACAATATATACGAAAATATCCTTTTTTTTTTCTTTTTTCCCCTCTTCGGTAATCTTCTTCCCTTCTCCTCCCTTTCCTTTCCCGATTCTGATTTCCCCTCCTCCCCTTCCCCTCCCCTCTCTTTTCCTCTCCCTTCCTCCCCTTTCCCTCCCCTCCCTTCTCTTCATTTCACTTCTTCTTAAAGAATAGCAAGTTATACTATATAAATTATATGAAACAATCATTTTTGTAAATAGTATAGTATGACAATAAAAACATTCAAGTACTATATTATATTAGTTTTGTCAGAAACAAAACATATATTATAGCATAGTTCAGAAGAAAATATGGATAACATGTGTTTCTATGATATTATCACGTGAAGAAGAAAGAGATTTTAGTAATTTTCATGTGGGTCATGGTTAGTTTGCATATTATTTAAATTTCATGGCTATATTCTTTGATTGTTTTTCAAATATGGATATAGAACGAAAAAATCCTTTTTTATTTAATAACTTAGGGGGTTGTTCTAGGGTTCTAGCTAGATTTATGGAAAAAATCGAATAAAAAGGTGAGATAAAAGTAGTGCTGACTAATTTGGATTTTCTGATAGTTTGATTCGATCCGGGTAAGTTTGATTTAGTTTGTTTTTTAATTAGATTTTGAACATGAACTAGGAAGATCATATTGTTTTAGCAATAAACCAGGTTTTATTTGCAAATACCACAAATTTAATGACACATAGATTCGACTTTATGTAATAAACAACTACCAAATCATTCGAGAAGAAAAATATAATTAATAATCATTATCTCATGCACTTTATGATCAACACTTTTTGATTTTTAATATTGAGGATAATTTGATTCCTCATAATAAAGTATCAACTTACATCATATGATGTATATGTATGTATATTAATATCAAGATCTTAGTCAGCTATACACTGCAATGGAAAACATATGAAACTTAAAAGATGCAAGTTAATCAAAATATTTATTAAAAATTCAAACAAAATAACATCAAATTGTCTTTGATGTCCTCATGTCCTATTGGTGCAAAATGTTCATCCTGGTCCACCATATTCAATAACAACCCTTATATGTTATGAATTATGTTGTACTAGATTTCTTGTTATTAGTTGTGTTTTAAAATTAAAAAAAAAATGTTGAAATTAATCATTGTTATTATTAAATTTAAATATATATGTCAAAAATATGAGTACTAAATACTCAATTTTAAAGTGTTTAGAAATGTTTTTCTTATGATATTAATAGATTTTATATTTCTTAGATATTGTATTAAATTTACTTTGTATGTATGAAGGAAGATCTTTTTAAAAAAACAAAAGAACCAAGGTATGCATATATATAAACCGAGGTATGTATATATATACATATAACCAAGGAAGATCATTTGTAGGTATGTATATATACAATTGAGCATAATAAGAATAAATATACAATTGGTTTATATGTATATATACAATTGAGCATAGTAGCATAATAGCATACTAGCCTTTATACTAGCGTTAGATATATACATGTTATACATGTGTAAGTAAAGAAATGCCCCCGATGAATATTGGCTCTTCGTATAAACCAAAGCACAAGGAAGCATCTTCGGAGGAAAGTTGCTAGTGAGCCAGACGCCAAGTGGCATATCAATCAACCAATTGTTAAACTTATCATAATCCATACGAATAGTATTATGGCTCGACGTGGAGTGTGTATAAATATGACTCGGCCTTTGCAAGTAAGACTTCACAAAGACAAGAGAACTCGAGACGCGGAAAACATAGAGAGAAGAAGTAACACATACCTCAAAAGCGCAAACACACAACCAAAGAAGAAGAAAAAGCACCTCTTCACTTTTCTCCTTCAATTTTAAACACAATATGGTGTCTCAAAAGCTGGAAATTTGCATCGAATTGATGAAGATTGCTGTCGTTTTCGTCGCCACCGTTGCTGAATCAGTAGAGGAAGCTTTCCGTAAGCCTCCACCCGCGCTTCCGGCAGTTCACGGTGGTCGCCGAAATAGTCACGCCGCCGTTTCCATTCCTCTCGTTGGATTCATGTGATTAATTTTTTTTTTTTTGGTTTAATCTTTCTCTTTTTTCGGTTTTGGCCTCGTTAAAGTTAGTAGCTCTCGTGCCGTGTGGCGTTTTGGAAGTTGATTTGTGTATAAGTATAACCAAAAGAATCATGAAGAGTTTACAGATAAATCAAATCGTCGACTTTTATAAAAAATTTGTGTATTAATATCGCTTTAACTTTCTGTAAGATCCTTTTGAAGCTACTAATCACACAACTATGAAAATTTTGCAATTACAAAACTTTATACATGATATGTACAATAAATCTTCCAGTATTGTTAACCTATTATTGACAACAACAAAATAGAAATAAAAATATTCATCTATTGCAAGTATAGATATAATAAACTGAGATAAATAATTAAAAAAAAAATTGAAAAAGGGCAAGAAAAATAATAAAAATATTACACAGAAAGAAACATCACTTTTTTGTGGAGAAACAATGCTGAGATAATTCGCCAGCAGGCCCAGTCTAATTAAAATAGTGGCCTAAAGCTATAAAAGAAGAAGATGTAAATTTTATTTGGTCATTTTAAATTTGTAGCTTATTTTTTAAATTTTTTCAAAATTTGTGACCTATTTTTTAACCTAATTTTTTTAAAAATATTGGTGGCCCTAAGCGCTGACTTAACCCGCCTACCCTCTAGGCCGGTCCTGTTCGCCAGATACATTAATTAAGTTAATTGGTTTCTAAACAAACATGTGCCAAATTCTTAAAACTGGATCTGAATCGTGAGTATATTCTTGACACGAAATCAGATCTCAGATGAAATATGTAACCATGTACAACTTCAAGTTCATTTGCTTTCAATTTACATATTGAGGAAAGCATGGGTTTTATTTAGTTCTTCCGGATATATACAGCGAATACTTTTTATATAAGTAGTAAATTTGGATCTGTTAGATTTTAATCTTCTTAGGATCAATATTGTCATGCTAATTATTAAAGTGGTCAACTTAGTTTGATCAGTTTTATGAAACAATTTAGTTGGACTGTTGGAGATGCTAGTGTTGACAAGTCAAACCAATTACAAAGAAATGATTATACAAAATATATAAATATACAGAACGGCTCCAGTGACTTGTCTTTCTCAGATACTACAAAGATCCGCTTTACCGACCCAAACCTCTCGGGCGTGAGCACAAGACTTGCGTCTATCTCTTCGTTGCTGAATAATCTTAGTGGCCGTACCAATGCTCCCGCCAATTCCACGTCCTACATTTTATACATGGTACGAGTCCAAAATGTATCAAAATAAGTTTAGAAAAAATGAGAATGAAATAATTAGTTTCATTTTGGTGATCATTTTTGCGTGTGTTTATTACCTCTTTAGGACTAAGGTTATACATAGTTAACGAAATGAAAAGTGGGCCTCTAATGGAAAGTGTAGGAGGTTTATTAGGCCCATTTCCAAATACAAACTTTAAGTCCAATTGTGGAGCTTGCCACCTCACCAACTTGCAAAAATTTAGAGATTGTTGGAGAGAAAAATTCATAACAAGTGTTAAATGAAAAAAGTATGCAACTACTAGTAACATACCCTCCTTCAGAAAGCAAAGTGAAATTGAAGGTCGGGCCAGGCATTAGGGCAGTGATGAAAATAGCCATATGAACATTATCATGGAACATCTCCATGGCCTTGGAAATAGCGAGTCCACCATAACTATGTGCAACGAGAATCACCTTCTCATCCTCACGTAGACTCTTCATTAGGCCCATCAACGGCTTAATATTCTCCGTGACCGATCGTAGAGTCTCTGCCCGGCGTAGATCGATGCCGGACGCCGACAAGTCGACCGCAGTTACGTTGTGGCCTTGAGATTTCAATATTGGTATCAGTTTATACCAACACCAAGCCCCGTGACCGGCACCATGAACCAGCACGAAATGGGCCCGGCCATGTTGCGGTGACACTGGTGTGGCGGGGATAGGATGGTAGTATAGGCTGATCAATATAACAAGAATCGGTGTTAAGTAATTTTTTGTTTTGCTCTCCATTTTTTTCGTATTGAGAGGTTGTGATGAACGAATGTTGCCTTTGCAAAAAAAATTATATAGTAGAACAAGATAATAAGGTGTTGACAAATTGAACAATTCTTTTGCTAATGTCACAAGAAATAATTTGATCATTCTTAAAAGGGATTATAAAAACAGCTATAGTGTACTAGATGGAATCATTTTTCTTGATTTTGATCCTTGGAAATTTTCTTTTAGTGCTATACTACTAATAAATACTTTTTCTTAACAAAAATAATATTTTCAGAAGATTCATATTTATAAACGTCTCTTTTGATGTTTTGTTTTGTTAGTTTACTGTATTTTTTAAAAGGAACAATTTTCATCATACTGACATATATATTAGCAATTTTAAGAAACAATGCTTTTATTTGTTTTAGCGATTCCAAGAATTCGAAACGCAAACGCCAAATAAAAACATGTTCACAACACTAAGAAAGAGTCCATTACTTTTTTTCCAGACTGTAAAAATATCCATCGTCAAGATTTTGAAATTATGGTAAAAACAAACAAAACTTTTATAAAGACGTTGTCAACGACCTCTGGTTCTAAATTCGCTACAAAGAGTTTGCTATTTTCGTATCCTTAAAAACGTTAGTCTATATAATTTCCGTATTGCCAAAAATAGAAAAAAAACCGGTGGTTTCTGTTTGCCTTTGTTTCATTATAGGTTTTGTCTCCACAACAATCATCTATTAAGGAAGCCATTAAGCCATTTCCAAGGTTTTTCATCACCATGACCCCAAGAACAATGGAGAAGCCTTATGGCTGCTCCCTCCTCCTCTTTTTCTTCATAATCCCCCTTCTCATACATTCAACAGCCGCTCTCACCGATGAGGAAGCTTCATTTCTCACCAGACGCCAGCTCTTGGCGTTGTCAGAAAACGGTGATCTTCCCGACGACATGGAGTATGAAGTCGATTTAGATCTCAAGTTTGATAACAACCGTCTCAAAAGGGCTTACATTGCTCTTCAAGCTTGGAAAAAGGCAATGTACTCTGATCCCTTCAAGACTGCGGCTAATTGGGTCGGTTCGAACGTGTGTTCTTACAAAGGCGTGTTCTGCGCACCGGCGCTTGATGACCCGAGCGTAATGGTTGTGGCCGGAATCGATCTTAACCATGCGGATATAGCCGGATACTTGCCTCCCGAGCTAGGTCTCTTGACCGATGTCGCATTGTTCCACGTTAACTCCAACAGATTTTGTGGAGTTATCCCGAAAAGCTTATCGAAACTGACGTTGATGTACGAGTTCGACGTCAGCAACAACCGTTTCGTCGGTCCGTTTCCGACCGTTGCTCTCTCTTGGCCATCTTTGAAGTTTCTTGACATAAGATACAACGACTTTGAAGGAAAATTGCCACCAGAGATCTTCGATAAGGATCTTGATGCTATCTTTTTGAATAACAATAGATTCGAGTCGATCATCCCTGAGGCAATCGGTAAATCGACTGCTTCCGTTGTTACCTTTGCACACAATAAATTCAGCGGTTGTATACCAAAAACAATCGGTCAGATGAAGAACCTCAATGAGATTGTGTTTATTGGGAACAACCTAAGCGGTTGTTTCCCGAACGAGATCGGTTCGTTGAACAATGTGACTGTATTTGATGCGAGCAGTAATGGGTTCGTCGGAAGTTTGCCGTCGAGCTTGTCGGGGTTATCCAACGTGGAACAAATGGATTTCTCGTACAATAAGCTTACCGGATTTGTCTCGGACAGTATCTGCAAGTTACCCAACTTGTCGAACTTCACATTCTCTTACAACTTCTTCAATGGAGAGGCTCCGAGTTGTGTTCCCGGGACAAGCCAAGAGAAGCAGTTTGATGACACAAGCAATTGTTTACAGAACAGACCAAAACAGAAGTCGGCTAAAGAATGTTTGCCGGTGGTTAGTCGTCCTGTGGATTGCAGCAAGGACAAGTGTGCCGGTGGTGGTGCAGGAGGAGGCGGTGGCTCAAACCCATCACCGAACCCAACACCTAACCCACCAAAGACGCCAGAGCATAAACCAGAAATCAACCCACCAAAGACGCCAGAGCATAAACCAGAAATCAACCCACCAAAGACGCCAGAGCATAAACCAGAAATTAACCCACCGAAGACACCAGAGCATAAACCAGAAATCAACCCACCAAAGACACCAGAGCATAAACCAGAAATTAACCCACCGAAAGTAGAAGAGCCATCTAAGCCAAAACCAGAGGAATCTCCCAAACCAGAACAGCCTAGTCCAAAGCCTGAGACACCAAAATCACCAGAGCTTTCTAAACCAAAGGAGCCTAAGCCAGAGCCACCGAAAGAAGAATCTCCTAAACCAGAACCACCAAAGCATGAATCATCCAAACCAAAGCCTGAGACGCCTAAGCAACAACCACCAAAGCAAGAAGAATCTCCTAAACCGGAGACGCCGAAACAAGAGGAGTCACCTAAACCTGAACAACCACCAAAGACGGAGACACCAAAAATGGGGTCGCCGCCAGCTGATTCACCGGTACCAGATGATCCTTACGACGCATCTCCAGTTAAAAAGCGTCGTCCTCAACCACCATCGACGGAAGAAACACCATCACCACAATCTCCACCAGTACATTCTCCACCGCCGCCACCACCACCGGTTCATTCCCCACCGCCTCCTGTATTTTCACCACCTCCACCAGTCCATTCTCCCCCACCACCGGTTTATTCGCCACCGCCTCCGGTATACTCTCCTCCGCCTCCACCAGTCCATTCACCACCACCACCAGTCCACTCTCCTCCTCCACCTGTCCATTCACCACCACCACCAGTTCACTCTCCTCCTCCACCAGTCCATTCACCACCACCACCAGTCCATTCACCACCACCACCAGTCCACTCTCCGCCACCACCAGTCCACTCACCGCCGCCACCAGTCCATTCTCCGCCACCACCAGTCCATTCTCCTCCGCCACCGCCACCAGTTTTCTCCCCACCACCCCCTGCACCTGTTTACTCTCCTCCTCCACCACCAGTCCACTCCCCACCTCCACCAGTTCATTCTCCACCACCACCAGTACACTCGCCACCGCCTCCGGTGCATTCTCCGCCGCCTCCAGTTCATTCTCCACCGCCTCCAGTCCACTCTCCGCCACCACCATCACCTATCTACTCTCCTCCTCCTCCAGTATTTTCACCGCCACCAAAACCTACAATGCCTCAAACACCGGCGACATCTCCGACGGTAGATGTTCCAGCACCTTCATCGGAAACGGAAGAAGACTCAGCACCAGTTCAAGCTCCGACCCCAGACTCGGAAACAGTCGAAGCACCATCAGAATCGGATCAATCACCAGGGTTTGGTTTCAGTCCAGCCCCTACACCGATCCCCGAGCCGAGTCCTGCTCCGACTCCAATTCCCCAATCAGATATATCCCCAATCCCATCAGACGAGCAAGTCGAAGCACCATCACCATCAACACAAGAAATTGAAACACCAGAACAATCGGTCGTCACACCTTCGCCATCACCGTCATCTTCAACTCTTCCACCAGTTGTTGCGGCGCCACCGCCAGGAAACAACGACGGCGGCGATGATTTCATCCTGCCACCAAACATTGGATTCCAATATGCATCGCCACCACCGCCCATGTTCCCAGGCTACTAAACCAACCATTTTTAATATTTTACATTTTGGTCCAAATTTTTCCAGTTAACCAAGATTGTAACAAAAAATTACATTTATAAATTTGACCATTGTAATCTGTAAGTAGACGAACTTTTAGAATGAAATTTCCGAAATGAACCGTAAAACCTTTATGTAATTCTGTCTAGTGTAAATTCATCACATTTTATCTATATTTTTTTGGATTGACGTGTGTTTTTTGTCTCAAAGTTTTTGTTTATTTTCCAATTAATACCCCGTTCATTTTTTTCACTGTTTTATACTTCCTTCGTTTCAAAATAAATATTAACACTTTATTTTTATTTTATAAAAAATATCATTTTATATTTTTAAAACAGTTTTTTAAATTTATTTTCAATTTTATTTTTATTATTTTAGTTTATTAATTAGAGAGAGAAATTGTTTTAGTGTATTAATAAAAAACATAATAAACATTTATAATATTTTCTTAATTTATATAAAAAATCTCAGAATAATATTTATTATGAAACATAAGGAATATAAAGCATTTTCAATTTGTCAAATGTCAACTTAGAGGAACCCTATTGATGGAGAAATTAAAAGATCTTAGTTTTTTTTATTTAAGAGATATTTTATTTTATATATTTTGACATTCATGGTTTTTTATTTTTTTTTTATGGAAATTTATTTCATGTTGGTATTATTATTACCGAGAGTCAATTATACTTAATTTTTAATTTTTATTTCTACTTGATTTGATATCGTTGATTTGTTTTTCCTTAAGCAAGCTTAGTAAAGTAGTAATTAAGTTCAATTCTGGTCTTTATTGGCAACTATCATATTTCTTCGATCTTTCAAATTCCAATTATTCAACTGTTCTCAAAAAAATTCTGACTTGAAATGATTGCTCAGTTTGAAGAACCAAATTATTGCTGAGCTCGAACTCTTTCCTAGTCAACGAGAAGTAAGTCAACATGTTCATAAGGGAAGACAAGCTTATAAATTAGTGTTCAACTAAGAACAAATAATTTATCTAATTAGTCCAACTTTCCAATATCAATTTAATTTTATCTTATAATACAACTTCTGACAATGATGTTTTTTTTTATTCGTCAGTTAAAGTGTTTATTACTCCATATGATTCGATATATATCCTCTGACCGGCTTAAAACTAGTTTTAAAATCAATTCAACGAGAAAAAGTCTCTGTAATTGAATTCGTCAAAAGAAAAGTTATAGTTTGTATCATATTATCATTGATAATGACATACGCATAAAAACAATAATGATTTATATAAAATTTAAAGTTATTTAAAACAAAATTTAAGTGGTATATAATTTAGCTACATTCTTGCTGTGGACATCGAAACATAGCATAAAGTCTCTTGATTGCCCCCAAACTTTTTTCCTTTCTAACAATGGAGTATCTTGATCCAACTTTCATCCAAGCACCAGAGCATAGATCAGATTCAAATTTCATCCCTTACCAACCCGAAGAAATACCGGTGATCGATCTCTCGCGCCTCGACGACCCTGAAGATATCCAGAACGTGATCTCTGAGATCGGTGATGCGTGTGAAAAATGGGGATTTTTTCAGGTGATCAATCATGGTGTGCCTTGCGACACACGGAAGCGTGTGGAGGAAACTGTGAAGACGTTTTTCGATTTGCCTATGGAAGAGAAGATAAAGGTGAAGAGAGACGAAGTGAATCCAGTAGGGTATCATGATGGAGAACACACGAAGAACGTTAGAGATTGGAAAGAAGTGTTTGATGTTTATTTCAAAGATCCAATGGTTATTCCTTCTTCCACAGATCCTGATGATGAAGGTTTAAGAGTTGTTTACAACAAGTGGCCTCAATTTCCTTCTGATTTCAGGTATTTTCTTTGTATTTTTTTTAATTAGATGAACTTGTGATTATGAGAAACAACAACCCGAATACGGCGGCTTAGTCATTCTGAAAGAAAAAAAATATATCCATATTTCTAATTATTTGACCTTAAACATGAACTTTTTCTCTAAATTTTTACCTAATTAGAATTAATTTATCATATTATAGGTTAATGATGTTCTATATATATATATAGCATAATACGTAGTCATCACTCTTATACATTGAAAATTTTCTGTAAACAAATTACTTTATTTTCCTTCTTACTCTTGAACTTTTCTCTACTTTTTCTATAAAAACAATAAATAGAAACTTGAAACCGATATGATCAGAACATTATCACTTTTTTTTTCTCTCAAATCTATTGGAGGCACGTGAACGCTATCTTCCAAATCTGCATATCAGCATATGATAGGTTACAACTCACACAGAGTATACAATAATTAGATGAAAAGGTTTTATGTTTACTTTTCACCTGTGAATGCTAATATCTTCTTTATTTGTCCAATTTAATAATAGGGAGGCATGTGAAGAATATGCAAGACAAGCTGAAAAACTAGCGTTCAAGCTTTTAGAACTAATCTCATTAAGCTTAGGCTTACCGAAAGAGCGTTTTCATGATTACTTCAAAGAACAAATGAGTTTTTTCAGGATAAATCGTTATCCACCATGTCCACGACCTGACCTAGCTTTAGGTGTAGGCCACCACAAAGATGCAGACGTTATAAGTCTACTGGCTCAAGACGAAGTTGGAGGATTACAAGTTAGTCGTAGATCGGACGGTGTTTGGTTTCCTATTAGACCCGTCCCTGATGCTCTGGTCATTAATATGGGCAATTGTATGGAGGTAATAGTTCTTCAAGTTTTTTTTTTCTCATTCTTCTATGATCTACACAATATTAAAATGTTGAAATCTTGATGTATACGATATTGTAAATGTGGTAATTAGGTATGGACGAATGATAAGTATTGGAGTGCAGAACATAGAGTGGTGGTGAACACAACAAGAGAAAGATACTCAATACCATTCTTCTTGATGCCTTCGCATGATGTAGAAGTGAAACCATTGGAAGAGCTTGTGAGTCCTGAAAACCCTCCAAGGTACAAAGGATATAAATGGGGTAAGTTTTATGTCAGTAGGAACAGAAGCGATTTTAAAAAACTCGAAATCCAGAACATTCAAATCGATGACTTCAAAGTTGTAACTTAGTACTACTAGTATAGTACTAGTATGTATCAACTTTTTTTTTTTTACCAAGCAATGATATTAATGTAATAATGTGTTTGAGACTGATTTTATGTCGGAAACTATAAATTTCATAATGTTTAATGAAAGTCTGCGGGATTTTAGTGAGAACACGAATCCGTAGTGTATTGGCGTTTTACAACTTTATGTATTGGCAAAAAGAACAGAAAATATATTAATTATTTCTTTTTTATTTGTAAATTTTCATTCAGGTATTATCGTACATAAAACTTTTATTTTATAATGGTATTGTGTTTTGTAAAAGATGAATAAAATTCAAAGAAAACACATCAAAATATTATATTTTTCTAAGTACGTTCCTAGTCAAAAATCAAAATGGGCCGGCTAGAGAAAAAGTTAAAATGTCCTTAGATAAATTGCATTCCGTAGATCACATTCGGCACCGTGCATAAGATTCCGTCCAGATTCTTAGCTACTTTCTTGTGAGAACTGAGAACCTATGATCCTGACTACGACCCTCCTCACTTTTGTAATATTTAAAGCACATGGAAAGAAAAAAAAAACTTAGGGCTTCACGTTTTCATGACTAACAATGAGTTTGATTAGGGTAAATCGTTACCTACCATGCATGTCCTCGACCAAGACCTAGCTTAGGCCTTAAGATTATAAATTGTCTCACGGTGAAATTGAATGATTATAACTGCTGTTTATCAGATGGTGTTTGATTTCCGATTAAATCCGTCCCTAATGGCTATTGCTCTAGTCATTAGCATCAGCAAGTGATTGAGGTTCTGAAAGCAACATTAAAGAAGTATTCATAGTAATAGTATCATATAAATATATATGATAATATACGTTTGAACAAAAAAGAAAAAATATGATAATATACGTATGGACAAATTACTGATAGGTATTGGAATTTGGAGAGCAGAACGTAGAGTAGAGGAGACAACAAAGGGAAAGATAGTCAATTCCATTCATCTTGATGCCTTCACGTGCGTATATTTAACACTCATGACCTTTATGAAGATTCCGTCTACATACATACATATACTTGGCGTCTTTTGATCAATTAACATTCTAACTCCAAGTCCTAATCCTGACTGTAACTCCTAATTAACTTATTGTCAATCTGTGATTGATATAAAATCAATTGTTCACAGAAATTAGTCTAGATTCATTTTATTTCGTGGGAATAAAATCCTGACTGTAACTCTTAATTAATTTACTGTTATTGTTTTCGATTCCGACAAAGTCTACGTGGCATTTGTCCTATAAAGTATATACGCACCACATAATCACCGATATCTCCAAAGCTCAAAGCTCGCAAACAAAAAAGACCGCCATGGGAGGACTCGATGAAGCTTTTATCCAAGCTCCAGAACACAGACCCAAAACTAATCTCGCAGACTCCGGTGATTTCGCTTTCTCCGACGAGATTCCGACCATCGACCTCTCTTCTCTGAAAGATCCAGATTGCGACAAAACGGCGATCGCGACAGAGATCGCAGAGGCATGCGAGAGATGGGGATTTTTCCAGGTGATCAACCACGGCTTGCCGTTCGATTTACGGCGTTGGGTAGAGAAAGCGGCGGCGGATTTTTTCGATCTACCAATGGTGGAGAAGAGGAGAGTGAAAAGAGACGCAGTGAATCCTATGGGATATCACGACGAGGAACACACTAAGAACGTTAGAGACTGGAAAGAAGTTTTCGACTTCTTCTTGCAGGACTCGACGATCGCTCCGGCGACTCCGGAGCCGGAAGATACAGAGCTCATAAAGCTCACGAACCAGTGGCCACAAAGCCCTTCTGATTTCAGGTGATCATCATCATTTCATTCGATAACGCTCATTCAAATTGATGAATTATTTGCTTGCTGCTAATCACGAGTTCGACAAACATCTAAAAACAAGGGTTAAAGGCCCAATGGGCCTGATTAGAATCCATTTACCCTAATCTAATTTTATACTAACCATCACATGTGTAGAGAGATATGCCAAGAATATGCAAGAGAAGTTGAGAAGTTAGCTTTCAAGCTCTTGGAACTTATCTCCATTAGCTTAGGTTTACCCGGTGATCGGTTCACTGGCTACTTCAAGGAGCAAACAAGTTTTTTGCGGTTCAACCATTACCCTCCTTGTCCGAACCCTGATTTGGCGTTAGGTGTCGGACGCCACAAAGACGGAGGAGCTCTAACCGTCTTGGCCCAAGATACTGTGGGTGGATTACAAGTGGGCCGTAGATCGGATGGACGATGGATCTCTGTGAAACCAATCCCCGATGCTTTGATCATTAACATTGGCAATTGTATGCAGGTAATGACATGAAACTTTCATCTCGATATATAGTATTTATTTTAGATTTGATCAAATGTAATTTGGTCATGTAACATACGTTGTGGAGTAGGTGTGGACAAATGATAAATATTGGAGTGCAGAACACAGAGTGGTGGTGAACACAAGCAAAGAGAGATTCTCAATACCGTTCTTCTTTTTCCCATCGCACGAAACCAGCATTGAGCCATTGGAGGAGCTTATAAGTGAAGAGAACCCGCCTTGTTACAAAAGGTACAATTGGGGAAAGTTCTTTGTTTCAAGAAACAGAAGTGATTACAAGAAGCTCCAAGTTGAGAACATTCAGATTGATCACTTTAAGGCTTAACTAATGTTGTAGCTGGGTCGATCTATACAAGATGTGCTTGAAATTATAGATGTCGTAGCCTGGTCTCAAGAGGATACATGTTGTAGTCCGTTTCATATATGCTGTGGTCGGGAAATAAATGAGTTGTAGTCATGATGTAATGTGATACTATATGTTAAGTGTGATATGTGTGATTGAATATATGCATATTTTGAGTTGTGACTGGCTTTAAAGATGTTATAGTTACGTTTCTACATGACGTAGATAGACTTATTATTAACACATGCATGGCTTAACCTTACTATGTTCAATTCTTACAGTACACTGTAGGTTATGTACTAAAAGCAAAAGTCAAAACATTCGTAATGACATTTATTATTTCAAAACAAGAAAAACAAATAATGAATAGGGAATAACTCTCTCCAACAATTTGACCCATCAGTATTTTAGATTAATTTAGAAGTGACAAGTGGCTAACTAAAATTAAAACAATCCAATAAATAATTATCATTAAATAAATTTCATTAGTTAGATATAAAACTGCATTTTATGGAATATGAAACATCTATTTATTTATGATTTTAAATAATAAAACTAAATTGAATTTGAGCTAAAAATAATTTAAGATATAAAAAAACCAGAGAAAACTACTTCTTTTTATTGTAAAAAAACGAAAAAGAATTTTTCAAAGTAATTTTTAGCAAAAAAGAAAAAAAAATTGATACTGCTCGTGAAACTTTGATGATGAATGAACCATTAACATAACAAACATATATTTATTTAAAAATAAGATATAGTTGTAATTTGACGATAAAAGAATATAAAGAAAAAAAGAAAATAAACTATTATTTGCACGATGTGTGTAATAGTCCTATTTGATGGTATTTTAAAAGTTAAATAAAAAAAAAATTATTAAAATAGAATTATAGTTATTTTTGATAGATTTCTCCAAAAGTAGTATATAGTGTTATAAATTAATTGATATCATAAACTAATATATAAAAATATAGCTTTATACAACTATATATATAATATAAAAAACTCAATTATTATATTTGTGAAATAATATTGTTCATGAGAAAATTACGGATTTTTTACGGGGATGTGTGTGTTCGTCCGAGTAGTACAAGTGAGCCTCTTAGATTAGGCTTCGAGGATTGAGCGGTATATACTCCCTCGATGAGAAATTTTTTGGGTCCTGCAAACATTCACAGTGGGTGAATCGGGCATTTGGGAGACCGGAAATAGGTTTTCCTCCTGAAAGTTCTCTGATGCACAATTTAGATTACGTCCCACAGTGAACAGATAATCAAGAGGACGGACAGATGGTGATTACTTTATAGCTTGGATATCCCGTCCAAGGATCGTGATACTCTTCTGTCATTTGGCAAAGGAAAATGTGAAATGTATGAACCATTGAGAGAGTGGAGGTGGAGCTCTCTCTTAATGGGGATATAGTAAAGAGATAGAGAAGAAGTGAATGCTCATCTTAGTTGGCTCTCCTTTGGGGGAACGTTAGAGGATCTTCAGCCTCTCGCCTCTGAGGGATGCTTGGGAGATCTTCGGCCTTTCTTCTCAACTTTGACCTCTTCTTCTTTCCTTATACATATTTTCCTTTGATTTATCCCATCCGAGAGACGCTTAGAGAGAGTAGATATGCTCACACTCATTGGGAAGTCCGCCATATACCAAAGAACATTTAGGTAGGGAGTCGTTAGACAAGCCTAGGCACCAAGTTCATCATTTCGGCTGAGCCTATTATCAGTGTATCTTTCACCTATTGGATACAGTAAAAATGAATTCAACAAATATATTATATTTAAAAAGTTTTATAAGTATGAAATTCACATAGACATATTTTATTTTTATAACAAAATACATTTTATTTTAAAAAAAACGCACGTAGGTGCGAGTATTAGTCTAGTATGTATATAATTCATCGTTACGTTACAGTCAAGACAATGTTAATATTTTTTTTTCTTTTTTCAAAACTATATTTTTTTTTCCTCTCTCACCTGTTTGTGTCATTTCTTTTACAGTTGACAGTGCTTTTGGTTTTAAAATGAGATTTCCAGACCAAAAAACATCTGTTTGCAAAGGGGAAATTGCTCATTTAATTCTTCAAGTATTTGCAATCGGCAAATTTATTTTCCAATTATCATGTGTGTAAATTAAATCTTCAACTTAGCGCTGACTTTGCAAATTTAGGCATAAGAAAAGTCAAATGTTAAAGAAGAAAATGGAAACGTTACCATTGACTTTATATCTCAGTCCAATTTACAAAGTCAACATAAACTCGAGGAATTAATTTGCCAAATTGAAAGTTGAAGAATCAATATGCACAATTACAAAAATTCGAGGAATTAAATGATCATTTTTTAAGAAAAATGTAATTATTTCATAAATCATGATTATTTGTAGAATACCATCAAATATTTTTTTCAAGAAATAGTGTTTTTATTATATTATATTTTTTGTTTTTATGAATTACATAAAAAATTACTTGTATTTAATTCCGATGATTATTCTCCTATCATACGGTCATTGGTATGGTCACTCTATTAGAAGAAACAATTTCATCAAATTCACTTATCTTCATCTATATTTCTCATTATATGGTAGTTGCCCTGAAAATATTTGGACGACATTCATGTTATGTCTCGTATTCATCATGAATTTTTCATCCCATTTCCTTTTCCGTTTAAAAGAATTCTCAATCGAGACTATTTATTTTATTCAAACAGGTACGAAAAAAGAAAAGGTATAAGATCATATACCTTAATTACCTGTTTATTATTTTTTTTCAAATTTTTTCTAATTTCTCCAAAATTATCCAAAATATATGTTTTGAAGTTGATCTTTATCCAAACTACTGGGAGTTTGAGAAGAGATGTTGGGTAAGGGATTTTCCAAATCTGTATCGTTCTTATCGGATTCCCATATTTCCAATTCTCATCATGAATCCTGAAATTTTTAAGGACACATATATCTGCTTAAATTATTTGTTTTTCGAAAATTATGTATACTGATTTTGTAGTTTTGATAAAATATTAATTAAATTTTAGACAGAAAACATAATATAATAAAAACAATATTTTTTAAAAAAGTATTTGATGATATTTTACAAATAATTATGATTTATGATTATTAGAAAACATAATATAATAATTTTTTAAAAAGTATTTAATGGTATTCTATAAATAAATATGATTTATGAAAATATTGCTATGGCATTCATGTTATGTCTCATATTCATCATGAATTCTCATCCCATTTCCTTTTCCGTTTAAAAGAATTCTTAATTGGGACCATTTATTTTATTCAAACAGGTACGAAAAAAAAAGGTATGAGATCATATACCTTAATTACTTGATTATTAATTTTTTTCAAATTTTTTCTAATTTCTCCAAAATTATCCAAAATATATGTTTTGAAGTTGTTCTTTATCCAAACTACTAGGAGTTTGAGAAGAGATGTTGGGTAAGGGATTTTCCAAATCCGTATCGTTCTTATCGGATTCTCATATTTCCAATTCTCATCATAAATCATGAAATTTTCAAACACATATATCTGCTTAAGTTATTTGTTTTTCGAAAGTTATGTATACTGATTTTATACTTTTGATAAAATATCAATTAAATTTAGACAGAAAACATAATATAATAAAAACAATATTTTTAAAAAAAGTATTTGATGATATTCTACAAATAATTATGATTTATAATTATTAGAAAACATAATATGATAATTTTTTAAAAAGTATTTAATGATATTCTATAAATAAATATGATTTATGAAAATAATCATAATTTTCTAAATAAAAAATAACCGTTTAATTCCCTAAATTTTTCTAATTGTGCAGATTAATTCTCTAACTTTTAATTTAGGAAATTAATTCATTTAGTTTATGTTGACCTTGTAAAATTAGACTGAAAAAAATCAACAGTAATGTATCTGTTTTCTTCATTGACATTGATTTTTTCCATGCCTAAATTTACAAAGTTAACACTAAGTTAATGATTTAATCTGTACACACAATTATTGGGGAATAAATTTATCGATTGTAAATACTTGAGGAATTAAATAAGCAATTTGAGGGTAATATAATTTTTTGATCATAAGGCAATTACATATTATTATATATCTATGATATTGGTAAAGAGGAAAAAAAAAACTATATTTGTGCTACAAAATAAAAGAAACAAATATTTAAATCAAAAGAATAAAGAAACAAATATTATATTTGTCAAAGGAAATTAAAAACAAAAAAGGAGAGAAAAAAAAGATGGTCGAAAAAGGAGAGTAGGTGGGGGCGGTCGGCTTTTTGATTAGTTAAAAAATCAGTAATAAAGACCACACGAGTGATCAACTGATTCGACTCACCGAGTCAAAGAAGAAACACAGATTCAACTCGCTCGAGCTACAAGTTGGTGTTTTTTTTTTTTTTAATACCATTTTTCTTTTCCAAAATAATTTTGTTTTTTTTTTTTTTTGTTTATGGTTTGGTTGGGTCACTCAGGTCAGGTGTAAAAGAAAAGAGAGAGTGTTGTGTTGTAACACCCTTTGACCATAATCAAAGCTTTTTACAAACTCCTTCAGATCTGAAAGGGGTTCTTCTCAGTCTCTGTCCCGTATTCTCCGGCGTCGTTTCATGATCTGACTTTGGTCTCTTCTCCTCTTTTTTTTGCCTTCACTTCATCACTGTTTCTCTGAACATGCCACGCCCTTTCTTCCACAAGTTGATTTTCTCATCCACTATCCAAGAAAAACGTCTGGTAACTCCATCTTCCGTCTCCTCTGCTTCCTTGTATCCAAACTTTCTTCTTCTCTTTTGGTTTCAAAGTTTTGATTTTGTGCGAAATTGAGGGGTTTCCAAGGTTGGAATCTGGTCTCGAGTTTGCAAGATTATGCGTTCTGACACTTGTCTGATTTCTTGCAATTTAATTGTCCTGATTCTTGATAGAAATCAGGTCAAATTTATGTTTTTTCAGTTTTGGGAGCTGATAATTTGAGTTAGTACGATTGAAATTTTTTTCATTTTGCAAGCTTGTGTTGTGTAATTCCTCTAATGGGAACTTTTAGATTTCGAATCAGAACTCTGCAACTTTATATCTTATAGTCATTGTTTGCGTTTGGTAGAAAATTGAAGTTGGAGAAATCTACATCTGTTATTTAACAGCAAATTGAATGTAGTTTGGGAATGTGTTATCCACTGAGTTGACTTGTGATGGTGATAAGATGTATGATTCTGTCAGATTGATGCAACTTCTGAGTAGAACACGTTGAGATCTGTTTTGTTTACTCTATTTTGACTCTCTTCACAGTCTGAGTTTTAAGATTCCTTATTGATAATAGAGTATTGTAACTTGTGAGTGAAACTCTAAAACTGTGTAGTAATTGTCTTTTCTTATAAGGTCCCTCTCTCTCTCTCTCTCTCTCTCTCTCTCTCTCTCTCTCTCTCTCTCTCTCTCTCTCTCTCTCTCTCTCTCTCTCTCTCTCTCTCTCTCTCTCTCTCTCTCTCTCTATTTGTCTGCGTTTAAAGTTTCTACTTGTTTCCTTAAGATAAAGTGTTTTTTGTGTAGGAAAAAAAATGAGTGTACATTTACGGTTTATTATCTGCTTTAATACCACAATAGATGATACTTTTAGTTCTCAGTTTTGCATATAAGTAAATAAATTTTACAAGGAATATAAAGCTTTTCGATTAACATATGACTTGTGCGATAAGACCGTAGTACTCACATAAGCAGTCTGTTCAAAGATAAATGCACATTGTTACAAGTATAGTAGTTTCGTGTGGTTTCTTAATACACTCCTCCTCTTCTTCTTCTTCTTCTTCTGCTGTGATTTCTCATTCCGGTATGCTTGTGCAGAGGGTCCCAGATAAGTTTGTGAGTAAATTCAAGGATGAGCTTTCGGTTGCGGTTGCACTCACAGTACCTGATGGTCATGTTTGGCGTGTAGGACTAAGGAAAGCAGAGAACAAAATCTGGTTCCAAGATGGTTGGCAAGAGTTTGTTGACCGTTACTCCATTCGCATTGGTTACCTTTTGATTTTTAGATACGAAGGAAACTCTGCCTTCAGCGTCTACATCTTCAACCTAACCCACTCCGAGATCAACTACCACTCGACCGGTCTCATGGACTCCGCACACAACCACTTCAAACGCGCCCGTTTGTTCGAAGACCTTGAAGATGAAGATGCTGAGGTCATGTATCCTTTATCCGTCTACCCATCACCGCTTCCTGATTCTTCTGTACCGGCCAATAAAGGGTATACCGGTTCAGCCATCCAAACCTTGTTCACTGGACCTGTCGTCAAAGGTGACGAACGACTTCTTTTTTATCTTTTCTTGTTTCCACTGATTTACCTTTTTGAATCGTCTTTTGAAGTTTGATGGTTGATATCTCCTTTTCTTTTCATCACAGCTGAAGAGACAACGCCAACCCCAAAAGTTCCGAAAAAGAGAGGGAGGAAAAAGAAAAACGCTGATCCTGGTAATGCATTTTCCTCTTTTTGGTCCTTGTTCATAGTTTTATCTCAAGATTGATACTGAATTAGTTATCTTTTTGATATGGTCCCCATACAGAGGAAATAAACTCATCTGCTCCGCGAGATGATGACCCAGAGAACCGTTCAAAGTTCTACGAGAGTGCTTCTGCGAGAAAGAGAACCGTGACTGCAGAAGAGAGAGAGAGGGCCATCAATGCCGCCAAAACTTTCGAGCCAACAAACCCTTTCTTTAGAGTTGTTCTGCGACCATCCTATCTATACAGAGGTTGCATCATGGTAATTAAAATAATATATAGTTTTGAGATTGCTTGAGAAAGGTCTAATCTCTGCAAAATGGGTTACTAAAAAGGCTCTCTTTTTTTCTTTGTTGTTGTTGTGTGTTTCTTTCAACAGTATCTGCCTTCTGGTTTTGCTGAGAAGTACCTAAGTGGGATCTCCGGATTCATCAAGGTCCAGCTCGCGGAGAAACAATGGCCCGTGCGGTGCCTATACAAAGCCGGGAGAGCCAAATTCAGCCAAGGATGGTACGAGTTCACTCTCGAGAACAACCTAGGAGAAGGTGACGTCTGCGTGTTCGAGCTGCTCAGAACCAGAGATTTCGTTCTGAAAGTGACGGCCTTTCGAGTCAACGAGTACGTCTGAAACAAAGAATCACCCACACTGTAGGTATTATGGGTGTGATTGATCTGCAGTGGGGGACAATTTCGTGTAGGGGTGTCTTAATTTCAAAAACAACTAAAACTCTCTCTGTCTGTCTCTCTCTTGTGTCATTGCGTCAGTGTCTCGCTTTTTTTTCTCTCTGGTGTTTTTTCCCCATGTGGATATGTTGTTTTTACCATTATATATAACCTCTGAGTGGAACTCAAATTGTTTGAGTAGAAGTTAGGGATTAAGAACTTTTAGAAGTTTGTAAATACCTAATCTCCATCAATTTGGTTATCGACATTTGTGACCAAGGAAGATAATATGATGAAGATGGGTTTGTTGTGTTGTTGAATCTTCGAGTCTTCTTTAAATTTTCTTCGCTTTTGCTTAATTCGAGGGTTACAGAATCAGATTTGGCGCGTATGAGCTCTGTTTTTCCTGGACCAAGATTTTTGTCCTTGTTGCACCAGAATTCGAAATCAGTGATTCAAGCTAAGCAAATCCATGCTCAGTTGGTGATTAATGGCTGCCGAGACAACTCTCTGATCGGCAAACTCATAGGCCATTACTGTTCGAAGCAGCCATCTCCAGAAAGCTCAAAGCTTGCTCATTTACTGGTGTTCCCTCGATTCGGTCACGGCGACAAGTTTCTCTTCAACACATTGCTTAAATGCAGCAAACCAGATGACTCGATTCGGATTTTCGCCAGCTGGGCATCGAAAAGCTCGTTGCTTCATCTCAACGAGCGCACGTTCGTCTTCCTGCTCGGCGCTTGCGCCAGGTCAGCTTCCTCGGAATCGGCGTTGCGGGTTGGGAGGATTGTTCATGGGATGGTGGTAAAGCTCGGGTTTCTCTCCGAATCTGAATTGATTGGAACTACGTTACTCCATTTCTACGCTCAGAATGGGGATTTGCGCTACGCGAGGAAGGTGTTCGATGAAATGCCTGAGAGAACCTCTGCTACATGGAACGCGATGATCGGAGGATATAGTTCACATAAGGACAAAGGGAACCACAACGCGATGAAAGCTATGATTCTGTTTCGGAGATTTTCCTGCTGCGGTAATGGAGTTAGACCTACCGAGAGAACCATGGTATCTGTTCTTTCAGCCATTTCACAGACGGGTTTGCTCGAAATCGGTTCTCTTGTTCATGGTTACATAGAAAAACTCGGTTTCACACCTGAAGTCGATGTCTTTGTTGGTACTGGACTTGTCGACATGTACACAAAATGCGGCTGCTTGAACAGCGCTTCCTCTGTGTTCGAGCTAATGGAAATGAAGAATGTCTTTACATGGACTTCAATGGCAATGGGGCTAGCTCTCAACGGAAGAGGGAACGAAACACCGAATCTTCTAAACCGGATGGTGGCATCTGGGATTAAACCGAACGAGAAAACTTTCACTAGCTTGCTTTCGGCATATTGTCATGTAGGTCATGTTCAAGAAGGACTCGAGTTGTTTCAGAGCATGAGGACAAGATTTGGTGTCACTCCTGTTATTCAACACTACGGGTGCATAGTAGATCTTCTCGGTAAAGCCGGGCGGTTACAAGAAGCCTATGAGTTTGTATCAGCTATGCCTATCAAACCCGACGCTATCTTGTTAAGAAGTCTCCGCGACGCCTGCAACATCTATGGTGAGACTGTGATGGGTGAAGAGATGGGAAAGGCTCTTCTCGAGATAGAACGAGAGGAGAAGAAGCTGTCTGGTTCTGAATGCGAAGACTATGTCGCTTTGTCGAATGTGTTAGCTTCTAAAGGGAAATGGGTAGAGGTAGAGAAGCTGAGGAATGAGATGAAAGAAAGAAGAATCAGAACAAGACCTGGTTACAGTTTTGTTTAAGGTCAGAATGAAAAAAACTAATTCTTATGCAATTCGAGTTTTTTGGTTTCATCAAGTCAATAATTAATATTACACAACAGAAACACTTGCAGGTTTTGGTTCTGTTTAAAAGAACTGTTTTCCCTTGAAACGTCTCTTGTCTCCTTCTTCTTCAAACACTTTGCTTGAATTGATCGCATCAACATCTACACGAAGATAGAGAAATTCAGGTCATAAAATTCATCAACTCATAACGTTGTTATTAAGGACAAAGTCTGTTCTTTCTTTTTGGTTCTTACCGTTTAGAATCTTCTCAAACTCATCGTCTCTTGGTCTCTTCTTACGTTTATCCCCTGAGTCACCACCTTTAACAGATTGATCGTTTCCCCTTGTACCTTGAGTTCCAAGAAACCCTTCGTCTGTAACATCGATGACCTCATCGTCGCTGATATGAACTTCATCCAGTGGATATTGGATCTCGCAAGCCGAAACATCGAAGATCATTACACGGAAACTCGAGTTTCCTTCGTATTCAAAGCAGAGAAAATGGCCTTCACTGATGGAATGAGCCTCTGCAAACTCACTCCAACCTTCTTGGAACCAAAACTCTTCACCGATCCGTTTAAGCTTTATCGAACGCTTGAATCCCGCAGGTGTCTTCAATGTAACAACCTCGGAGAGTTTAGATCCATGTAGCCTCACAAATCTTGTGGGAATCCTCTGTTACAAACACAGAGATTTCCAGGAAATAAGTAATAAAAATGTCAGATCTTGGATTCTCTGCATGTCCTAAGAACAATTTGGCAATTTTAATATCCCTTTTAGATCTCTAATGCAAGATATACCACAAAAATGGAGACTATCAAGTGAATCTGCTGAGTATAATCCCAAGAAATTGCAGCAGAAGTTTAAAGCAACAAAGAATCGAACCACAACATATGCAAACTACTTTTTGAGTGATCTTTCTGTTTTAAAAGTGTTTGTTTTTTACCATCATGTTTTCCTTCATTGTAGAGGGTAAAACCACCTTGAAGAACTTCTTCGCCGGAGATTCAGGCTCCGACGGTGGCCGCCGGTGAGAGGCTGTGGTGACTCTGGCATTCGTTCTCCGGGTAGTAACCATTTTTTCTTTTTACTTTCTCAAAGAGAGAGTGGAAATGTGGAGAGTTAAAAGCTAATAAAAGCGAAACCAAGAAGGAAGATAAGTCATTTTGTCGTGATGTTGTGAGATTTTATCTGACAAAGTGTGACAAGTGACAAGCTACTTTAATTTTTCTAGTTTCCCAAGACTCTTTCAATAAAGTTTTCACCTGTAGATTTTTTTTTTTTTTTTTAAGATAAAAAACTATTACTACAAGTAACCAAAATAAGGTATGATGACACTACAAGTAACTTCTGAAACGTAGCGCATTCTACTAATAATCAACCACCATGAAAACGATTATAAACCATAGTTACTTCCCAATGATTACATCGCTCTTTCTTCTTCTTGTTAATCTAATTTGGATAAATGAGTTTGGGGTTATATAGTAAGCTGTAGAGTCAGGCTATCATATTAAAGGCAAATTAGAGGAGAAGAAGGCGGTAGTTTAGTGGAGACAGTGAAGCGTCAATATTATTATTTTGAAATGTTAAGTTTCTGTTTCACAATCTTTTTTTTTTCATTGATGTGATTAGCTTGTTAAGTTTTGATTCAAAATCAGAATATCATTCTTCCACAAAACTCATGCATACACGATCTTCAATCAGCTTCGCAAAACTCAGAATCGGCCCATCTAACACATTGATCAGCCCATAGTCTGTCTATCAAATGTTGCGGACGTCTTGGGTCTACTGTTCACACAAAAATCAACCAAATTATATAGCCCGCTAACAAATCCATTTAGACATAGACAAACCTAATTGACAATTTTATTGGGGGCAAATCGATGATGCAAATTATTGGATTGGACATTCCAAAAGTGCATCCACCATTTTTTTATTTTATTAACCCAAAAATTAGAATACATGTTACTACGTTATGGGTTCGATAATGCAATTTGTCTTTCTTTCTTCATCTGACTTTTTACAGTAAAACTCTTTCTCCACGCTAAATCGGACGGATGGTATCAACTGGTTTGTTATTATTAAATTAATGTGTATAAATATAATGAAGCAGTCACTATTCCAAACGATCAGTCCTGTCAAATCTTTTCTTAGGAAAATATGGTTCGCCTCACCACAAGGAATGTGGATGTCCTTGTCGACAATGAAACGCCTCTGGTGGCCACGGTTGCCAAAAACCGAGGTCAAATGAAGAGATGGATCATGTCCAAGAGATCGATCATCAAGGATTTCATCAGCAACAAGTCCAAAGTGTATCTTGGTGCAATCTGGAGAGACTTGTGGTTTGGATATATTGACCAATCCTGTCAAACAAATGACATTTTTACTCTTTTCTAAAATAATTTAAGTTATTAATTATGGAAATTATAAATTTATAATAATGTTTTTGTCTGATGGAGAGTTGTAATAATCAACATAAAAAAGAGTCCATACTATTAACAACATTTCTCATCTTAAATGATTCCACAATGTGCAATAACAGGTCAAGCAAATCGAATGTAGATAAGTTTTTAACAATTTAAATGGGTCAGAAATCTGTAGTTACCTATCCCTTGATTAAAGAAAGCAAATTAAAAGTAGGGCGTAGATATATCATAGTGTTTATATCCCCTAAAGAAATTTATTACCTATTCTTCATCATCATCATGTTTTAATGTGATGATTCTTTTATGTTTATGTTGGTTGTAATTTTCGATATTCTTTTCTCTTGTGGTCACAGTTTGTTTGTATATATGTAATCTCATAACATTTATTGATATTTTTAAAAAATGTCATTTCAACCTTATTCTGTTTTTCTTTGGACAGACAAATTCTGAAGCTAGTTCTTCAAAATCTAAAGTTATATATTATTTTATTGAGATGAGTTTTTTTAAGAATTTTTGTTAAAATTTATACAAGAATATGGTAATAACATATCAGTTGCTTTTTTTTTTTCAAAAGAACTACAAATATTATTTCAGTAGTTTGAAACTATCTTTAATCTTTAATAATATGCAGTAGAAATGTAGACCTGATAACAAATGCATTTCTGAATTATGCGGTAAGTATTTTGACAACATACAACAAATGCACTTGATGTTTCATTTTTTCAAGGCTCGTTGTAGGAGTCTCAGAAATTGCGTAAATCAGATAATGAGGACATCAACAATAACTGCTTATCAGATCACAATGTTGACCCCATTCTTTAACAAGGTCTATCATCCTCAAATGAAGAGGTATGTATCTTTTTTTTTCCTAGAATGTTGCTTGACTATAACATGTTCTCTACATTCTTTTAGTTTCAATGTATTGTTGCATTTTGTAAAGGTATATTATCTAACATTGTCTTCTTATCTATTCTGAAAATGACATAATGAAATAAATGGAGTACAGACTAAGAGAAAATATTAACGAAAAAAATATTAAATAGATTAAAGTCTATTTAACTTCTTTTTTTTTTTGAAATTAATGTTAAATTTTGTCACACAAGAAAAGAAAAAACTGTTTTACAATTGATCAGTTTTTAAAAATTTCATGAAAATTCTTAAAAAAACAGAGCGTAAAATAAAAAAATCTGAAAAAAAAAACAGAGCTAAGGATATATTTGCTATGAATTATATTCATATGATCCCTTGGTAGACAAGACATCGATATATAGGTACATATAATTAACTTTAAATGCTGCAAACTAACATATGCGGACGTTGAGACCCGGTGCGGAGGGAACACTGTAGTAAGTTCGGCTACGGACGTTAATGGAATATACCCGATGATGACAACAACCTCCATTCAGATGCCTATTCCCTTACTCCTCTCGGATGATTGTATTGCGCTCGTCGCCACTGCGCCCCTCCCTCCCTCTCGATGGCCGCCTCGTCTCCCCGTTAAAGTTCATCAACACCAGCTTCTCCGCCGGCCGTAACACCATCGCCAGCTGCAAACCATAGATACTTTATGCTCGATTCCAGCTTTGTTTCCCCTTCATCATCAGTTATATGTAATATGTGTTATGTCGTGACCACTTACGTTATGCATGAATAAGGTCTAAGATAAGGTATATATGTAATCTCTCAATCTTCAAGTACGTATTGACGTTGTAGCCTGTTGTAACTTATTTTTCCGTGTCTTGAATGTATAATTAAAATGAAACTCTCAATTAAATAACGGGTTTTTGATACAAGTCTGAGATGGTTTTGAAAGAGAGTAATTATACATTCACGTTTATGTAATCTCTCAATCTTCAAAGTACGTATTGACATTGTTGCCTGTTGACTTAGTTTTACATGTCTTGAATGTATAATTAATATGAAATTATTAATTAATTAACGGTTTTTGATACAAGTCTGAGATGGTTTTGAAAGAGAGTGATATTATGAGCCAAGCAGCTTCTTCCACCTGGCGTAACCAAGGGTGAGCATGAAAATCACAAGGCAAATCGCACTAATACTCCACACAAAGTAACCAAAGACGCCATGAATCTTATACAATGGTAGCTTTATGTTCATTCCGAGCAAGCTTATGAACAATGTATAGACAGTTATGGCGAAGGAGGCTATGGTCAGCGTCAGCTGCAGCTGGATCATTTCGTTTCGCTGGTTATCAAGCTGTATGTTCACGTAGTCCTCTGTGTCGTCAATGTACTCCCTCACCGTAAGAATCCTGTTCCTCATCCCCTCCAGCTGCATGAAGTACGCCTCCAGCAACATCTCCAGATCCTCCACGTCGTCGTCATCTTCCTTCGCACTGCTCGTCACCATACTTGAGCTTCTGTTCGATGCGACCCGGTCGACAGGATTTGACCCTGTCCCTCCATACACTGCTTCGGACTGCTGCTGGTTCTGTATCCATTTCCTTGTTAAGTATAAATCTGCCATGTCCTCGTTGTCATCTAACAAATGTTCGAGCTCATCTCTCACCTGAATAATAAGCTTTTTATGTCACCCTCTCCATCACAACACACAAACAACATGGGGACACGAAGGTATGTACCTTTTGTACACGGGCTAGCAAGCGGGTGAGATTGCTTTTCAAGCTTCGAACGTATTCAAGATTCTCGGTGTTGACACTCTTGGTTAGTTGATCAAGGACAGGCCAAGCTTCTGACTCAAGTGATGCAACACTGGTTTCAACAAAGGAGCAGACGACCTCGAGTGAAATCTCCAGGACCTGGAACTCGAAAGGGAGCTCACTCTGAAAGCTCTCTGCAGCTTCTGAGTCAAGAGAAGATCGTAGAGCATTTAAAGAAGCATTAGTCCTCTGAGGAAACTGTTGCTTTAGTCGTTCAACGAGTGGGAGAACTTCAGGACGCAGAGGATCCAGTAGCAACACTTCTTCTGCGGTAACTATTAGCTTTATGACCTCTAAATTCACAACAATGGCTTTCTCCCTCGCTGCACAGAGCAAAAACAAGATTTTTGCAAATCGAAAAACGCATACATTTCTCATATCCAATTTCCAAGGATCCCTACAACATTTGGGGGGGGCAAAAATCGAGATTAATAAGAAGAGAAATCGAAACTATACCGAGAATGTTAGAAGAGTGAGAGAAGACGGGGCCAAGGATCCTGAGATCCCTAGCGGGAACGGAGGCGCGTTTGATGATGGTACTCTTGTCGCATTCCACCACCTCCATCGCTCCGGCACGATCAAACCTCATCCACAGCCTCGCTCCTACGGTTTTCTTCTTCCCCTTCCCTGCAGCCGCTGCTCCGTCTGCTGAATTAAGCGGCGGAGGAGGCGGTGGAGACGAAATCCGGGTAGTGTCGGCTTCATCCTCCACCGCAGCACCCTTGTTCCTGTGACGGATGCTCGAAAGACGGCGAAATGACGAGTCGCACTCCCCCATTGCGATTACTATCGCCTTCCTCGTCGCAGAGCTCAGAAATCTGGCGGCCTCTTCTTCTTCTTCTTCCACTTGGCTTTCTACAATTTCGACGGATTCTTCATCTACCTTAAACGCAAGTGAGGAGTTACAACATGAGCTGGTCACTCTTATCATGAACAAGTGGAAAGCAACAAATACATAGTTTTCAAAATTCCGTAGAATACGGACACCCGGCGAATTAAAAAAAAAGGGTTTTATTTTTTTGACGGTTAATCTGGGCTTTTTAAGCGAAACTAAATGATATGGGCTGGCTTTTATTTCTCAAAGCCCAAAAAAAAAGTTACAAAAAGAATCCGACCTGCCGGAATCGAACCAGCGACCTAAAGATTATCTGCAACGTCTACAGTCTTCCGCTCTACCAACTGAGCTAAGGTCGGATACGTTTATTACAATCATATTTATTAATTATATTTAAAGTAGATAACTTAATTGGAATATCCAGATAATTTGTTTGAAAATTACTACTCACGATTTAAAGATGTGGTTATAAGAAATAAAACCCCCTCGGCAGATTGTGAGGATTATCTAATTCAAATCATTATATCTATCTATAATGCATTACTTTTTTTTTTTTATTACTCCTTATTTTAGCATCGTTGAAACAAATGTACTAGTACTCCTAGTTAGAGCCTGGAGCCTACAAAACCATGCATGTTGCTGAGTTCGTGTGTGAGTGGAAAAACATTTTAATCGTGATCGTATTTTACAATTGATTTCATCTTGTAATTATATGATAAACTGGTCATATAGATTTCTAATGTTTAAATGAATTACTAAGTGATCGGCCCGCATTATGTGCGGCTATAACATATTTTATATGTTTAATATTTGAAATATATTACATATTATTTTATGAATATTTATATATATGATTGATTAAACATTAAGTATTACTGTTGTATGCACATTTGACAATTCAAAATAAATAAAAATCATAAAATATTTCAATAGAAAATGTTACATAAACGTGAGAACATATAATAAAGTGTAATAAAATATATCAAAAACATAAACTAAGAAAGATTATCAAAAACTTCTTTGTAGACGACATTTATAGTTTTCTTTTGCACCTTCGCTTCTTTGTATGTGATGAGAACTTTAAGTCTAGATCGAGATTTAACTCTAGATAAAGCAACATATAGCTGATCATGAGAGAAAACTGGTCTAGGTAAAAACAAACCGATATTCTGAAGTGGTTGTCTTTGGCTTTTATTGATGGTCATTGCGAAAGCTAAAGCTAAAAGAAATTGTCTACGATGCATTCTAAAAGGAAACCTAGTGTCTGGTGGTGTGACATACATCCTAGGGATTAAAATCTTTTGACCAATCAATTTTTCATTTCCTGTTAAAATTCTACCTTCTACCACATGTCGAGCCATCTGAGTAATAATAAGCCTAGTCCCATTACATATACCACCCTTAGGATCAATATTACCTTCTACCACATGTCGAGTTTTAATTTTGTACTCTTGTTTGAATATCATCTTTGGCACCCACGCTAAACACTTGTCCAATAACATCTACGTGCAAACATGTAAAGTAATAAACAATGAAAAATTAAAAGAAAGGGATGGAATATCTTCGAAACATAAAAACGTAAATGTAGAAGAAGTGTTTTAGTATTACAAGATATTTTTGTCGAGTTTATCATCCAAAATCTCAAAAAAATCACTGAAATATTTTTCTGGGAATTCTTTTGGGAAATCACAAACTGGTTTGATAACACTTGTTCGGGTCAATTCTATCTTGAACGGCAACGGAGAGGTTCTGTAATCCCCACCATATTTTTTTAACTTTGAAAGCATTGATGCTAACTGCCACACCTTCTTTCGAAGCTTGTTGATGTTTTTGTATAAATTTTTCAACCACTGTTGCATGAATCCTGGTTTCCTGGAAAAATTAGAAATAAAAAATCTTGTTACAACTTTGAAATTAAAACATTAGAAAAAAAATATAGACATAAAAACAAACCTCTTCATCAACCAGCACCATTTCAATTGAATTACCAGCAGTAGTTTTAAAAGAATTCCAAAAAAACTTGGATATGTACTTTTGTCTTTTAGGTGTAGCTAGCAGAATCGAGATTGTTTAACATCACAAAAGAAGATTTTTTAAGGCACACAAGAGCCATTATTATGTGTGGTATGTGATAAAAAAATCGAATGAGGTACATTCTAAAAACGTTTTACATATATAGTTGGAGAAGATCAATAAATTAGCGTATAATGTACTTTTCTAAAAACAATTAAAAATCGTATATTTATGATATAGTACATTCCAAAATTATGAAAACATATATTATAATTAGGGGTCAGTGGTAATGATGATGGTGTCAATCAAAATATTTCAGCATCATAGTAAATTGTATCTCTTTTTATCTAATTTTTGATATATTTGGTATTAATTGAAGATATTAACAGAATTCTACTTTTGGTGCTTAGAAGTTAGTCTCCTTATATTGTGTTTTCCGTTTATTTCCTTTCTATATTTATATTTAGTAACAAAATTAAAACTCATCAAATTGAGGTAAATCAAAGTTTTAATTATCTCGATTTTAATAATATCACTTCTTTTATAAATAAGTATTTTCTATATGTAGATCCAAAATTAAAACCCATTGCATAAGAAAGGAAAACTAAATTGTTTTTTTGGTATTTTGGAAGCAGGCTCATTTGATTCCTTCTCAAGTTTAGATTCTCCCAAGTCCACGCTTTTTGAGTCTGAAATGAGTATGGAACCTGTAATTTTTTTAAAAAAAAACGAACCATAATTATTTTGTTTTAATAAAAAAACGTCAGAACTAAGTCATCATGGTGCAACGATTTTACTTGGATCTATGCGTGGGTGCAGATTTACTTAATGAGGAGATAAATTATAAACCTTTCTTCAGGGAATGCACGTTTGTTTCTTTTCTTCTCGTGATTCACTCCAGTTGGCAAACCCTCATAATTGAGAAACAGAGTTTAAAGTTTAAGAATGGATGGTAAACTGCTGCTGGATGAGAAGGCATGAACCCTAGTGATGGAACCGCCATAGATTTCAATTGTTGCTCCATCTTCTCCTTATCAGCTTTCAACACCAGCTTCTCTTCCCTTAGCTCGTTCTTCTCCGCCTATACGCAAAAACCGGAATCAAATCTTACTAAACCTAATAAGCACTTTAATAGTCTTCCCATACGATGATTTGAGAAATAAATAGTCAAGATTATATGCGCTTAATCAGTCTTACTAAATTGAAGTCAAATGGACAAGAACCTACATAGTGGGGCTTTGCCTAACTACGTTTGGGAAGAATAATATATTAACCTCATGTGTTTGCTTTGTAAGCTTATAACCAATTTTTTTAATTAAATAAGCGCAGACTGGTCTTATCCTAAAGTATTAGAACAGACTCATGTGAATTAATTAACTTGATAGCAAAAATTTGTAAATATTCTAAAGTTCATTATGTAAATTTAATTTAACAAAGCTTTCCTATACGAAGCGAAGCATATATGGTACATGTTACTCGAATAATCACTAAGAAACATATTTAAAGCTTAACTCAAGAAATGACTAATGACTATGATTATGAATGCTCAAATTTTTGAAGCGGATAGGCACCCAATAATACGGACAAGTACAAATTTGACCCCAAAATAATTGCTTGGTTACTAATATTGGTAGAACAACATCTATTATCTTTTTTCATGGTATTTGAAAAACTGTTAGAAATAGAAGGGTGTGTATGTACATATGTCAATGTGAATAGATGTAGCTTTAGCTTATACATTAGATTTGTTTCAAACTTAAATCCGACGAAAATGAGGCTTTTTTTCATACGAGACATCAAGAAAGCAATTAAATATTACATTTAATTTTCCAATGGCTACCTCTTTTTCAACAAATTGAACTAACAAATCAACCTACCATACGTAATTAAATTTAAAAATTCCAATTTTAATATCCTACCAGATCAATTTGAAAATAAATGAATAAAAACGACTCGTACATTTTGTTTTTGGTTGTATGTGTCCGAGGCTCTTTTATTGGCTTTTCCAAACGCAACCCATACATGCTCTAACTGAATGGCTCATCTTGGGCTTGCGAAACCATATTTAGAGTTCTTCCAATATGATTTTAATTATGGTTGGCCACTGTGATTGATGTCTAAAATGACAATAAAACATGGAGCCCCACACACTTTAATTTCGATTTCGAAAAGAAAAAAAACGTGTTTACTTGTACAATGCATTTTTACTTCAACTAAAATCAATTCCAAATCAAAATAAACCAGATCTAACCGAAATAAATTAGAAATAGAAGGTTGTGTATGTCAATGTGCGTACATGTATAAATTTGTGCGAAACTTACACCCTACGATAGTGAGACTTTTAACATAAGTTCGTGAAGACAACAATAAAAGTTTTTACATCTCATTTTCAACGGGCAACATTTTATTCAACAAAGTGAACTAGCAAATCAACCTAACGTACATATTACAAATCTCAAATTCCAATTGTATCTATTACAAGCTCAGTTTTAATACTGCATTTTGAACAAATTCAATACAGTAATATACTACTATATACAGAATAAACAAAATGATTTTAATAACAATGAATAAAATAATATACGGTTTGTTTTCCCTTTTTCTGAACACGGCCGAATCATTTCCACTTTCTGTTTCTTTTTCAAACGTAAATTCAAATATGTGCAGTTACAACAAAGATCGAATATAATAGGGGAACTTTCTAAACCTTTTATATACTTTCATGACGTGGCAGTTTTTTATTGGACGTATGATCTGCTTCTTTTTGCCGGCCAAAAACTTGCCTTGACCACGACGGCAAGAATCGCATAGGCCGCGGAACATTCCCTTTTTCCGTTGTCTGCATTCCCACGCGCTATAACGGCGCGTGATCTCTCCTCCTCGAAACATCTCTCAGCCAATCCTCGGAGACACCGTCTCCGTCACGCGCCACACCTTCACCGATTTATCCAAACTGCCGCTGTAAACTATCCATCTTCCTTCGCCGTTTTCCTCCGCCTCTTCCACCGCCGTCAAACACTTGACGGGTCCCACGTGGTCCATCAAAACCGAGAGACACGAGTGTGTCCCATCGCCGTTCCTCCTCCACACACATATGTTCTTATCCGCTCCGCCGCTCAACACCAGACTTCCGGCGGCGGCGAGGCAGAGCACCGCCATACGATGGCCGCGGAGAGTCCCGCCGTGAGAAAGATATTTCTGCCCTTCCCAGAAATTAACGGAGCCGTCAGAGGATCCACAGTAAACCACAGACGCCGTTAAATTAACCGCTAACGCCGTTACAGCGTTCTCTTGCTTCATCAACACATTTACCAGAAAATGTTTCGTCCCTTTCCCTTGAAGCTCTCGTTTCCACACTTTCAAAGTCCCGTCGGCGGATCCGGTGAAGAGCAAATCGTCGAATCCGGCGGCTACAGTGTTGATCGCGTCGTCGTGAGCCGAAATCGATTCCAAACATTTCGAATCGGAGAGTCTCCAGACTTTGAGAGTCTTATCCCACGAACCGGAGTAGAGTAAGCCGAGCTCTTGGTTCAAGCTAAGACACGAAACGGCGTCGTAGTGTCGAATCTTCAGAACGTTTTTCCGGCGACGAACCTCGACGTAGTTCTTCGGGTTCACCGATTTGGTCAAAAACTCCTTCAGAGTCGGTAAGCTTCCGATTCGGGAATATCCTCCGGTTCTTCTCTTAGACCCTCTCCAAACCCGAATTTTACCATCTTGATGACCGGTGAAAATCCGGTTATCTCCGGTGATTACAATCGCTTTAACTAATCCACTGGTTGATTTAAACCCGGTGAAATCCTTGAGATCTTTCCAGACCCGAATGTTCTTCGAATCGGATCCCGTGAACAGAAGATCTCCGGAAGCAGCCAAAGAGTAGACATGACCTTCTTGTCTCACGATCGTACCGACTAAACCGTTGTCCGGATCATCGTGGATGTTTCGGGTCTGGTAGATCCACGGAGACTTGTAGTACGGAGAGTAAGTCTGGTTCCACGGCGACGGAGACATCGTCGGCGTCGTTGTTGTGTCGGTGAAGTACGGAGAGTAAGTCTGATTCCACGGAGATAAAACCTGATTAGGAGACGATTCACCGCTCGTCGTCGAAGCATTGCTTTGACGTTCGTTGTTGATTTTGTTGCTAGTGCTGCTGCTACTGGGTTTGTTGATATCACCACCATGGCTCTTTTCTTCTTCTTCGCCGGCGGCCGGATCGGAGTTTAAGAAGGCGGCGAAAGTGAGTCTCCGGTGATGAGAACCAGTACTGGTTTCTGCAGCTATCACCATATTTTCCAGATTAAAAAAAAAAAAATCAAAAATTTAGTAGTTGTGGGGTTTTCTTTTATTTTTCAAGGATTAATGGGTTTTAATTTCGTTGTCGTGTGGAGAAATTTCGAGGGAAAAAAAAAAAAGTTCGAAATTGTTTTCTTGGGGTTGGGAGAGAAAATTTTGTGGGTTTGGTGAAATATATTGGAATAAAAGAGTGACGAGGAAGTTTGGATGGGTTATATATAGAGAAGCCGGAGGAGTAAAAGTTGGTGAACGGACGACGTGGGTTACTGACACGTGGCTTTTAGACTGGAGACGTGACCGTCACATACCGGGAGAGCCAATTTTCACGTGAGGAGACCGTACTAAGAAAATGAAAATTGTTAGTATGACATCTTTTTACTTATATGGAAATTTGGAAAGTAATTCTCTTTGTATTTAAAGAAAAGTTTAGCTACAAATTGAATAGCAGTATATTTTTTTCACATTTTCTCATCTTATAAACGGTATCAGAGGAGAAGCTCGTTTTCTGATTTTCTTACAATTTTTTCGTCGTCTTTCATTTTTTATCTTAATTTTATTAAATTCAGTACTGCATTAATATTTAATTACATCGGAAATGCTGAAGCGAACATGCAAATGGAGGTGTGATTATCTGTATAACATTTTTTATATTTGGAGGGTCCCGAATCAACTCTCGATCGTATACTAAATGCCCATAGTGGCGATCGATGACTGTTATTATCATTTAAAATATACACAGTAACCAATCACAAATGGTATTGCAATAACAAAACAAAACATAAAATGTATGAAGTTGAACGTAATGCA